TAAGTTGGAGGCCATCGCTTCTAGGTTGGAGGCCATCGCTAGTATGTTGGAGGCCATCACTCTTAGGTTGGAGGCCATCGCTATAGTAAGCTGGAGGCCATCGCTTCTAGGTTCGAGGCCATCGCTAGTATGTTGGAGGCCACCGCTAGTAATTAAGTTGGAGGCCATCGCTTCTAGGTTGGAGGCCATCGCTACAGTATTAGTGAGAGACCCAACTTGGAGATGGTACACCCTCACGTCATCGAGTCCCCCCTGGACCGACCTTCACCGTGATGTCCAGGTGAAGTCCCGGAGGAGAAATCCACCGTTGCCGCAAAGGAGAATGGACGGGCCGGCGTGTTGGAGAACAACTGTGCCTTTTGCCCAAACCCACCCTAAAGCAGCGCGTTTGGCTGCGAATGGCCGATGGAGTGGTAAGAAAGAGCCGTGATGCTGAAGGAAAACATCAGCAAAGAGTCACTTAACTGCGTTGCATCTGACCTGTGCTTTGGTTGAGCCTCATCCAAGGCACTATGCTATCGATTGTTTGTTTAAGGTCATTATGTCCTTGATGGGCTAATCAAAGATTTGAGGATGGCTTAATTCATGAACAAGTCCAGAAGAGAGGGGATAACAGGACTTTTACCATTGCCCATTTGAGGAAACAGCTGTTCTTTGAGACCCACTTGCTTTGCTTCGATCCTGGTTGTAGGTGTTCGTTCTTCCGGTGCAAGGCCCAGGGTGAAGCAGATTGAAACATTTCTTTCGAAGACTTGTATTTGAAGGACTGGGATACACTTGGTTCTCTTCAGGATGGTCCGAGCCTCAGTGCAGTGTGGTGGCCGTGGTATGCCGTGGTCCACTTTAGGACTTTTTTCGGTTCCTGCTTGGATGACGAATGACTGCAGATGCTCCTGCTTTGAGACTCTGTCTTTTAGGTGAATGCCTAGCGGTGGGTGATGAGGACGATCCTGAGCCGTCAAGGGCTCAGCGGATCTCAGCGGTCGTTTGGTTTCGATGTTGGTACCTGCTTGTTGGGTCCTGATGGTGGGGACCAGCCATGTGCGCTTCTTGGAAAAATCAAGCCTTAATTAGATTTGAACCGGCAAATATGGACGCGCATGGACACACAATTTATAGTTTTATGATTTATGAATATTTATGATATAGTTATAGATGAACATCAATGTATTCGGTAGATAGGTGTAGGTTACGGTACTCGTAGGTCGATCTTAGATAGGTAGATAGTAGATACGTGTAGGTAGACAATGAATCAGATCCGCAGAGCTCACCCTGCTGGGTAACTCCACCGGCTGGGTGCTTTTCATGTGAGATCAAGCGTTAGCAGGTACGAGGTGCTCTCCGCCGAGGAGAGCCAAGACAAAGCCGCCATCTGGGACGAGGTTCGCATAGGTTTTGCGAGCCAACTTGGAAATAGGCCACTCACGACATCCAAATTTGGGGGTTCACCCGTTTCTTCATGTGTTTGCTTGTGTTTGATCGATCGAAACGTCGATGGGCATCGAGCCATTTGGCCCCGCAAAAGATGAGACGCATCCCAAGCGCCGCACTCGTGGCATTGCTGGGCCCGGGATGGCTCTTTGCGCTGCCACGGTCTTCCTTGAGAGCCACAAGTTCTTTAGAGAATTGGCTGCAGCAGGTTCTGCCAAAGTCCTGGAAGTAAAACACGTTTTGTTTTTAAACCTCACAGGCTCACAGGTTCTTTTTTGGGGGCAACTTTGAACACACGTTGTGGGAGGCTTGGGCTTGTCCTGGAATTGAAGGCGGCTCTTTGGGCCAAAAGAAGCTGAGACAGCTTTGCTCCAAAAACACCCTTGCTCTTTCCATCAAAAGTTCTTTTTCTCGCGAGGAAGAGGCGTCCTGTGTGTGCGATACGCCCTACTGATCGGATGCCTCTTCTTTGATGGCCTCCAACGTACTAGAGATGGCCTCCAACGTTTCTCTGTACTGCACAACGCGCCCAGTCTCAGGAACTCTCGCCCGTGCATACGGAGTTCCCTCGTGCCCTTGCGAAGAGTGCGCATATCGACTCAGAGGCGGTGGAAACAGCCTGTGCCGCGCTTGCGGTGAATGTCCTTAAAGGCTGCCGAGGGAGGATGGGAAACAGATAGGTTTTGAAGATGTTCCACGATAGCAAAAAATGCAAGAAAAAAAGCAGGACATTTCCACCACACTTATGGACCATCGTAACTTCACTTCGATGGGTCTCCATGTTTTAAAAGCATAGTATATATTGGGATGCTCGACCGAGGAGGAGGTAGCTCCAGCGGATAACCACGGGACTTGATGTTTGACTCGTTGCAACATCCTACTGGTAGCTTGCAAATGGCAAATGCTGCAAGGACATCGTCTCTTTCCTAGATGCATTCCAGCCCATGTGACTCGACTCCGGTCCCGAAATGTGTTTGAGGCAATGTAGATCAGGTGGACGCTTTGATGGTGGTGCTCAAGTCCATGATGCCTCCCATTGAGGGAGCTGAAAAGGTCCGAGGGCCGCCGCCTGAAGCGACACTGGAGAAGTCGGAGTTGGTTTGGTCGGAGCATGACCCTCGGCACGGTGGACAACGTGGAAAACGGAACGCATGTTGTGAATGGGTGGGAATCTGTCATGGTTTGTGGAGAGTGTGGTGGGAGTGGGTCGATTTGGTCGATCAGGGCCACTAGGAAAAGCTCGTGGCCGAAGGTGTTTAGTACATGGCACTTTTGTGACGCTTTCAGCCATTTACTCAACAGTAAAGGGCTTGCAAGGGATCCAGGTTTGAGGATTCAAGGAAGTTTTATATATTTGATGTTTTCGGCTTGGGATGCTTCCGAATAGTGCTTTGCCTATCAAAGAGGTTTGCAACCTGCCACTGAGTTGTGCTCCTCCTCCTCCTCCTCCTCCCCCTCCTCCTCCTCGCGCTTGTGTCTTATTTTATTTGTTCAAGTTGTTTTTGACCTAACTGAGGACTACATGTCAGGCCCGCAAGAGAACCTCCGAGTGTTGCAGAGCTACGAAGCTGAATATGCTCGACGAGTGGCTTTCGCCGAAGAAGGCTTTCGAGATCCAAAAGTTCTAGCAGGCGCTGCTCCACAAGAATTGTCGAGGACGCACGAGGATGCATGAGATTTGTTGTAAAAGCCTACAGGGTTCCATGGCTTCAAGGTTGGAGGCCATTGCTATTTAGTTGGAGCTTGGGGCACGCAGGTGCATTGGACTTGGCAGTGGCCTATCTGAAGAACTACGCGGTGGACAAAGCCGATGCCTTGTATGCGGCTACAAAGCCTTTCTGCACCCTGCAGAGGAGCCCAAACAGTGTGTTTGTTTAACGGAAAAATTTAACGTGTTCTTGCTTTGGGGCCAATCAGGTGTCAACAAGCTTTATTGGATTCAATTGCGCACAAAATCCATGGAAGATTCGGGCCTCCAACCTTCTACTTTGGTGTTGCGTTTCCAGGGCTTTCCATTGCAACATGTGTTCAATAACACTCCCTGTTTGAGGTGCAGAGTTGCATTTGTTGGGTGTTCTGCTTGCGAGTTGCTTTGTTGTCATATTTCGGACCTGTCATGTGGCGTGGTATGCTGAGGTATGGAAAGGGGACTGCCGTGGGATGTGAAATGGTTACAAGACTGTGCCACACTGCGGTGCAAGCAGCAAAGGATGCCGGAGGCGGCTGTGATGCTGCTGGGCTATACACATACACTGAACTACTGTTTATACTTCCATACGTACTTGATATTCTGCTATAGTTCTGTAAGCTACTTGGATCGACCCTACTACAGCTCTTCGCTGTGGTTGTGTTCCTAGGTTGGAGGAAGTGGCAAAGCGCACACCTCCACATCCAGCCACTCTGCAGCTTGGCTTTTGCGCGGTTGATCGCTGGCTTTACGGCCGTAGGCTTAGGCCGTTCAACCGCGGGGTTTTGGGAACCAGCGGAGGTTCGCAGAGAGGGGGTTTGCCACAGGCTGAGAGGGGGAATGCTCGAATTTCAAAGGGGTGGTCTAATGAATGAAGAGATTATTCTCACAGTTTCTCTTTCCTCAACACGAATTTGCATTTGGACATTCCCTTGACTCTAGCTTGGCTTGTTTCATCCATCCTGGCCCCCTGATGTCCAAGCTCAGGAATAACCTTGGCACTGTCTATAACATGATGCGGGATCATGAGAAGGCTCAGGAGTACTTCATCGCTGCCCAAGAGGTCGCTGGTCACGATCAGCCAGATAAGAACGACCTTTGGAGCCTCGACACGCACGCAGCGACGGATGGCGGACGCGCGAGGATGGCACGGCAACGGAGGTCCTTTGTCTCGACTTGTTTTGTATGCGAAAACATGCTACAGTAACACCATCCAACACTTAACATAGAAGAGGACCTGGAAGACCATTTCCAGAATACCCAAGTAAACTAAGTAGGGGGGTTCTCCGTTGCCAGGTGAGCACCCCAAGAAACCTCCCAAGATGAACTAAGTCAAGGCCTTGTCATATGGAACCTTGGAATAAGCAACAGCTTGAAAGCGTAAGGTGGCGCAAGGGAGTTGTGAGACATGCATGTTGCGTAAGCTTGCCATATGTTGTCATTTTCACCTGCATCGCTTTTTCACATCTCCCTTGGGAGTATGCTTCTCATGTGTGAAGGTCTTGGGAGATGCGGTAGCGCGTCTGCGTCAGGTGCGACAAACATCTGTGGCGCATGGTTGCTCACACCGTCCAGTCGGTCGCGTGGTCGAAGGAGCGTAAGACACACCATAGCTCGGGTGATGTGTTCGCCGGGTTGTGGACTGAAGCAACAGGCAGTTAGCCGTCAGGCGGTTCGCCGTCGACTTTCCTGTTGTTGCAACTGGTCTATGCCTTGCACGTGCTGTGTCATCAAGCCATCAAGCGTAAGTACGGCCCGGGTGTTCCCAGCTGAATGGGTTTGTTGTGTGGAGGCAATTGCTCATTGATTTGTGAACTAATCTTGGTGTGTCATGTTGGAGGCCATCACTAGTCACTATAGTAGGTTGGAGGCCATCGCTAGTAGGTAGCAAGGTCAATCATGCTGTGAATAACTGTTGTCATGATCCGAGTAGGCTGACGACACGGTGTGATGAAGATGACGAGGTGACAATGCGATGTGATTCGACAGATGCATTTGTTGCAGCCAACCCCCATCACAAAAGAAATATATAATGTCAAAGGGAGGGCATTTGTTTTCATTGATACTGGAAGAATCTGGAAGAAGTAAGTGATCAATCTTGCAAAGCTTTTTGGAAGTGATGATGAATTGGTGTATATCACACTATCACTTGCAGCTAGATGCATTGTGAATAAAGACAGTGCCATGGGCAGAAAACTATAGAAAACTGAACATGCCGTAATATGCACAATATGCACGGAAGTGCGTTAACAGTCGCAGTAGCAGTGAGACGGTTGTGTTGAGAATGCTGATGAAGTTGTAGGTGGATGATGCAAATACTAAGTGCAGTGTGACTACAACATTACAGTAACTTTGTTGCGCGGATATGGCGGTTGTTGACCCCGTAGCTGCCAAGCATAAAGCTTTGGACAGACAGCTTTCTTTGTGGTTGGATGGCCTTCGGGGAGAAGCACCCAACGCCACAGGAACATGGGAATTGCCAAGAAGCATTTGGGCTACTATGATGAAGCCCTGCCCATGCTGCTGAAGGCTTTAGAGGCCCAGCTTGGAAAAGGGCACAGCCAAGATATTCATCATCGTCGAGAGTTCCAAAATGGATGAACAAGAGAAGCCAATAGTATGGTGATATAACCTGATTTCACCAACCTTCTGGAGGGGGGGGTGCACACCTTTCCCAAGTGGTCAACACTCCGCGCCTGTCTCTTGGGGTCAACCATAGTGGGGGTATATATCTGATTGAATCTTATTGAGAGGTCTAGCAACAACGTCCCTCAGGGTTGGAGCTGATTTTTCACATCAGTCCATCAGGTAGTTGTCCATCAGGTCCATCGGCCCAAAACCGCGCCAGGCGCCAATTGCGTAATTCGTTTGTGCAGGCATGGAAGGTCGAGGAGCCGGATGATGACGTGACCATTGCAAAGCTCCATGACACGGTGGGAAGCCACGCGGCCGCCACCGGACACCGGTGTCCACCGTGAGTCCGTGTCGGGGCTCGACACTAAACGGTGCTCAAACCAAAGGGAACGACCGAAAACGACTCCAGGGCTGGCACCGGTGGGTTGCAACCGTGGATTCCTCGGATTCCAGCGTTTTTTCTCATTTCGGTCACGGATCCAGCATGCGCACGTTGCTTCCTGGATCCGCTTGAGGCTGCTTCGACCTGATGGGCAGATATGAGGAGTTGGCGGTGATGAATTGCACATTTGCTAACTCTAAACCAATGAAAGATGCCTCCAAGTCTGTAGAGAATTGGTGACATCTCCACCGTAGACCCTGGCAGTTTCCAACCAAGTTTTGAGATTTTGTTTGCTACTCCGCTACTCTGCTTGCGTTTGTCCGTGGTGCTCTCCGGGAGGAATCCGTGGAGCAGTTTGCGTCTGCGCGAATGCTCTTCGGCCGGAGCATTGGGGCCGACAGCCCACTTTATGGCAGCGCGTGTGACGCTGGGAATGAGCAGTTGCCTGTTACCTGTTTATCGTCGAGGACCCTGAAGCAGATAATTAATTAGCTGAAGGCGGCAGAGAAAGACATGAGATCACTGGCAACGTGGTGGGGCAGAAAGGATCTGGGAGTTCAAGTCGCTGTTTTTGACCGCATCGAGGCCGTCGGAACGGGTCTGAGGAAGGGCTCACCAAAGCGTTAATGCACGCTGGCCGCTACCAAGAAGGTTTTGATCGCCTGGAGGAGACCTTCCTCAATCAGGTGCTTCTGGGCCGTGAGCCGGGTTGAAAGGTTGGAACCGGGGCAAATTCTGCGCCAACGTCTCCCATACTGCTCAGCTTGACCATCAAAAGCCATCTGGAAAATGAACAAGAATTGCGGGATTCCACGTACCGCACTTGCAACTTGTGACACAAGCAATTGTTTCTGACACGAGAGCCAGAAATTCAGTGTCCAACAAAAAGTGTAATCTTCCAAAAATTATCCAAAAGAGCACTGATTCAGACTCATACTGTAAACATGGCAGGATTCGGATAGGGATAGGGATTGGACTTTCCTCTACCAAGCGTGGATAGGGATAGGGTATTTTGACCCATTCACTTCATTCCAATGGGGATGCTGGCAGGCTCAAAAAGATGCCATCCATCCTACACCCGTCTTTGAGCTCTTGGGCCTGGCCCTCGAAGAGTTTGTCGACAAGGCGGGGCGGCGAGGTAATTGCGGCGTTGGCAACGTGTGAAGACGCTTTTTTGTAGATTCTGGAGACTGGTGCTTAGGTATGGAATAAGGGAATGGATCTTGAGGTATCTACAGGGCGGTTCATTCCCTCATTCCCTGCCCTACTAAGCACGAGTCTGTTTTGGGAGACGGGCAGATGGTCACTTCCGAAACTTGAAGGCTTTCATTTTTGAGGTATTGCTATAGAGTAGGCTATACGTCTATACGTCAGTGCTTTAAAGTAGTATATATTTTTTTCTGCACGCGTGGAAAGAAGTTAGAGCTAATGGCGAGGCAAAGGATGGGATGGTTGAATGAATTGTCGAAGTGTCGGGTAGAGAGATAGATGCTCCATCAAACACAAGTGGGGCGGGCCGGTTGGCAGTGTTGTTCTTGCGCGATGAGCGATTGTCTCCGTCCCTCAAAAGAGACGGCTATTTCTTTAATATTCTTGATATATTTCCTGCAGGTGCATAACAATATATCAGTTTATCTACCATGAAAGATGCGTCACCTCCAGGCTGATCTTCTTGACCGAAAGGAATATGCGACCCAGCGGCGTTCCGCCAGGGTGGGATGGATGTTCTCGAGCTCACTCGTTTGGAGAAGCCCATGGAGATCGCGGTGCATTCCTCGCGTTTGGAGCAGAGCGGAGGGACTCGGGGGATGAGGGTTGTTGAATGTTGATGGCTGTGGAAGCTGTCGACATGAGCACCATCCGAAAGTGCCTCCTCAACCTGGTTGCAGCATATTGCAGCAATCAAAGTCTTGTTTTTTCCACATGTTTGGCAAACAAAATATGTTTGCTCTGAATGTGCGGGAATGACATTCTGGACTCTCTGCTTTGTTGGCTTTGTATATGGTCAATCTTTGCAAGCTGTGAGCCACCATGACCAAGCCAGCATGACCAACATGACCAAGCCGCGATATTGTGGCCAAGCGCCATGCCCAGGTGAAAAACATGGTCTACCGTGGCCTGGACCAAGATGGGAATGCTGGCGTGGTTTTTGAGCGCATGGCACAGGTCTTGTTGCGCTGTAGTATGGCACAGGGCGATGAGCAAAGACAGAAGGAGTGCCACATGAATTGACAGGTGGTTTGCAGACTCAGTTTTTTATCAAACACTCTCCTCCCAAGGTTGTGACTACCTGTAGGGTCATCTAGCTTGAACCGGGTGTCTTCCAAATAGCAAGTGGGTGTTTGATTTGGAATAGAACCTTGTTGTCAAGTTTCTTGCTGGCTCCGTTAAAAGCATGTAACTGTAGTTTATTTGGTCCTGCTTGGGAGCAAAGCGCTCTAAGAATGAGGGAACATCCACATGCGCCTCATGCGCCTGATACACGCAAGACTGACCTATATATACAGTCATGGAACTTCAAGAATTTAGATTTCTCCGTAGTGGGCAGCCATGCCAGCATGGAGATATGATGATGATGGAGACGTTACGTGTGAAGAGTCCGCAGAGACCATCTCGTTCCTCACAACCACGAACATAATCCACCGCTTCTGGCGCCACAGCCAAGCACCACTATTTCAAAAGTTTTGCGCCGCATTTTGATAGAGCTTTCGCTTTAAGATTGGATGGAGAACGTGAACCTGTCTGCAAAAAGAAAGGCTTGACTTTGACCGGGGCGTTGCAACTTCAATAGGTCCAACTCGTACTTCACACTATTTGCCAGATCTTTCTCGACCCTCTGCGGAGTCAATGTGTTGATGTAGGTCTGTGCGGCCCCGAGGGTTGCCTGAGCCAGCTGGAAGCACCAACCACTGTGCTTATATGCTGATTGCTCAATATGCCCAGCTTGGACGTGTGAAACTTTCTCGGTTTGATATTTTTTGTATTGGTGCTCAGGAGCGGAGGCTCAACGATCTCGGGTTGGAAGATTATGCTTGGAGCAGTTGGATGCAAACACCTGAAGCTTGTAGGTGCAATGTGCGCCCGAAGCTTCAGTGCCTTGCGCCCGGCCAAGCTCGATCAATGGGGCCTTGCAGGAATGAATGAGTTGGAGACGGAAAACCCGTCACAACTTTACCAGCCAAATTGATTTGGCCAGGAAAACCCGTCACGTTTCAGACGCGGGCCCCAACCCTAAAATGTGAAATGTGATGTTTTTTTAAAAACCCGTCGCAACTAAGTAAGGAAAATGGAAACCCGTCAGACTTTCCAGCCCACTCCGAACTTCAAATTGTGATGGGTTTTTTCCAAAGCCTATGGAATTGTGATGTGTTTTTTGAAAAACCAATCGCTTTTCTGGGGCCAGTCCAATGGATTTGGCCACCAAAAATGTGATTGTTTTACAAAAGGAACCCGTCGCAATTTGACCAGCCAAATCCATTTGGCCAGGAAAACCCCGAACGCTTGGTATACCTAGAGTCCAACCGCTTTGCACTTGGAGTAATTATGTGTTGCAAAACCTGTTTGGCATAAAGGACTTGTCACGGTTTTACTGTTAAATTGTGTTCGTTCAGTAAGGACACCTCAGTTTCCAACAAAGACCAAAGCAGAAGGGCCGGGGCTTTGAGCTGGGTGCGCTTAACCTTGGTAGGCTATTTGACTGCCAGCTGGCAGCCGGTGTGCCAGTTTACTGGCAGCCACAACCTGTTTGAGTTTGTGGCGTGTGCTTCTTGAAGCTTTAAGCTTCTGGAGGGGCTTTAGGACGAGGTGAGAGTTGTTCGAGTAAAACGGTCGCGTCCGTTGAACGTTGCCTTGAAGCTTCGTGATTCTTAGAGCCGCGGCTTGTTGAAGCGATGTGGTAGCTGGGGGACAATATCGCGTCACATGGACGATCAAAGTGAAACATTACATAAGCAAAGATTCAACATTTTGACCTGCTGGCTTGGTTGCAATGTGTGCATGGAGCCTGGTATTTGAACTTGGTGCTATTTGCTATCATCATGGTTTTGAATGGAATGCCACGTGATGCGTGCAAGTGCTGATTGTTTGCAAATTGCAGCAAATGCTGCGAGTCCGCGGAAAAAGCTGCCAGCTTGTGCTTTGGAGTTTACCGGACGGGTAGAAATTTGGACACCCACTTGCTATTTGGAGGACACCCGGCTCAGGCTAGATGAGCCTCTGTGTGATACCGTATACCCATATATTTAGTCCAGTGATTTCGAGAAAGCATTGAGATATCCAGCCTTTCCATTCGATTATGTTTGAATCCCGTGCTTGCGCGAGGCCACAGCAGCCCAAAAAAAACAATTTGCCGAAGGCTGAAATCTGGAACCACCTTTCAACATCAAACAGACCACAGCATGTGTATGCCCAGAACTCATGGTTTGCCCCCGAGCACTTTGAGGAGGCAGCAAAATCCCTGCAAATCACACTCCGAAAGGGACTTTTGGCACTTGATTTTTTTCCATCGGTTTTGGTGATTGGATGACAGCGGTACCGGTATTTTAGATTAAGGAACGTTTCGCTCCATAAACATTTACGGGTATGCCTATACTTACGTTCAACAATGATCAAGTTCTCAGCAATGCAAAGCGCAAACCGTACTAAATATAAATCCCTAAACCGATCGTCGCCCAAAGTTTAGTGGGTGGGGGGAAAACCATGCGTCCTGGCACTCTGTTTACTTCTACGGGCCTTTCGAATCGAAGGCCAGTGCATACTTCCGTACGCTGTGTCCTTACACTCTCTACGGAACCGTACGCTACTCATCAGTTGCAGGACGCCGCACGCCGGCGGCAAGTGGCCAAGAGCCTACTGGGCCGATCGAAGCCTTTAGTGGATGCCACCACCCGATCCGGCGAGGCCAGTCGTGGCAGTCGCGGTCGGTCGCGGCCGGGGGAAGGGAGGAGGGTGTTTGGAGGTGGAGGAGTTGAGGCAGGTGTTTTGGAGGTGGAGGAGTGGAGGATTTTGTCTGGGGGTATCTTTGAGGTCTCAAGTTGCACAGATGAGGGTTTGAAGTTTGAGGCAGGGTGACGGTCCTTTCCAGTCGAACTATGGTCCCGGTACACTGTTTGAGAACAACGGTGCCGGGGACACAAGGCAGGGTGTCAAAATGTTACTGTGTAATAGTGAGAGCTCGGGTGCTGTTGTGCAAATGTGTTTCACTGTGATTTGAGAATCCCCAGAACGACCAATTTGCTGAAATTCAGCTGCATTCTGTTGGGCAGTGGAGCTACTCGACATTGATGGATTCCTTTTTTTTTCGTCTTTTGTTTTAGCCGGAAGGCTACAAGTTGCATATCCATTGCAATATCCTCTAAACCAAGCATGCGTGCAGCATATACACCCAGACCCAGAGTTTTGAGGTTGTTATTTTGTAAAATATATAGATGCTGTAGCTATTAGGTTGGAGGCCATCGCTACTAGGCTGGAGGTCATTTGTTTCTAGGTTGGTGGCCATCACTAGTAGCGGGGTTGCAGGCCATCACTCAAAAGAATATTGCATTTTTTTGGTTTAAATTAACAGGTCCACATGGTGAGGCTCCAGACCTCCGATGGCGGATGGTCCCATCCGCTGGCTTGACGTGTCCGGCCGACGGAGTGTTCAGGCCGACCTGACTCACATTAGCGCGCTCATCGATATGGAGCTACAGGTGGAGAAGGGGCTGTGCCAACTCTTGCAAGACTCACATGTAGCATGTTGACAACTCTGGTGCAGCCCTGGCAGAAACCACGTTGATCGCGCTCGTTTGCATGGACATTTGTCAGGTGTTGGAGACTCAGGATTCCATCTACCGAAGGGCCTTGGATTCCGCGGGTGCGACACCGGCACTCACTTATTGATCCCAAGAGCCTTGATCGCCCACACGTGGGCGGAAAGGACGGAAAACAAAGCGCTGGTGCAGTGGGTGATAGTGCTTTGGGGAGTTTTCCAAGATGCTTTGGAAATGGGCTTCGGCTCCTTTCAGGAGTCAACAAGGCTATGCTCACAATTTGGCAGTGAATTTGGTTCATGTTGATTCAACAACGACTCTGGCATCAGATTTGGAGATCATGAGTTGCATGATCCACCTACTAACATTGCTGCTACAGTTGCTATACTAGGGTATCGCGTCAATTTAGCCTTCAAATACTTTTGAAACCGGCTATCAAATGGAATGGGTGCAGCTGCATATCTATGTTTCAAGCTCAAATACTGGATGTGCATGAGGGGACCAGGTTCGTTTTGAACGTGTGTCTCATATACCATGTCCTTGTCCTTTTCTGGTGATGTGTAGTTTTCATTCCTATAGTCTTGATCGTATATATGTTGTGTTGTTTTTTCTTTGACTTTTTATCCTGTGGTTGTTCTTCTACTGTAATGTGCGGTTTCTTTGTTCTTTTTGTTTCTAGTATTGGTTGTGCTGTTAGTGTTTCTCTCGTGGCAGTCTGAGTATATAGTGTTTATTTGTTCAGTGTGTTTGTTTTCTTTTGATGTGCGGCTGTTATGCTGTTTGTTCTTGCTTGTGTTGTTGCCTTTTCCCTCGTTGCACTCGTGGTAGTCTGAGTGGTGTATGTTTTCAATCTGTGTTCTTCTGATGTGCGGTTTCTATGTTGTTTGCTTTTGTTTTGTGTCGTTTATTTTTCTCTCGTGGTTTTCCGAGTGGTGTTTTGCGTCCGTCGTTGGTTCTGCTTTGTTCCTCGTTCTGTGCGGTTTCTATACGAGTGCTGCATGTCCCTGGAGGACAGATCTAAGGCTGTCACCATTTCAGCATGTCGGCCCATGAGCCAGCTTGTTAATCTTGTTATAGGCGCATGTGAGATGTGGGCCGCAAAATTGAAATCCTGAGAAAGCCTCGAGAAGGATTGCCAAACCCAAGGGTAAATTTTGGAGAAGCCAGGGTCAAATTTGGGGTGCGAAGGAGCAATTCCAACGAGCCGAAAGCAGTTCGTTCCCCCTGTGTGTTTCAAGGTCTGTGTGCTCTTTGGGGGGCGCAGCGCCCAACCCCTCATTTCCTGCCTGCCACGAAAGCTGACTTTTCAGAGCAGCACCCCTGTCACAGCTTGTTTATCGTGGGTGATTTCGTGTTCCAATATGATCCTAAACGGCCTGGACTTGATGTTCCAAGATATTCCAACATGATCCGAATCATGAGTTCCAAAATGATCATCTTCCTTTGGTACATGAGCACATCAAGCCTTTTTTGTTTCCACGACAGCTCCACGAACCCAGCCACTGCCAAGTACGTCCGAACGCTCACGGAGATCCAGCGCTCTCGGAGGTGAACCATGAGATCATGCCCATGCTGGAGGCGATGGCCCAGAGACACTCGCCCCCAAACTGTGACTGGAGCCGTTTGTGTGAAAAGGGGGACAGAGATATGAGACAGATCAGCAGTTGTGTGTGTGTGTCCAGTTGGCAGTGTGGCCGCTGTGGGGGACGATTCGGTAAAGAGACATGGTTTGGTTTTTCTTTATGGAGGAACATGCGGTAGACTCTAGGCATTTGAATGGATGTCACAACGCTTGGAAGAACCAGATGTCAATGTGGGCAGTTTGTTAGCCTTACGGCTATGTCAAACCAAGGACGGAAGAGACAGAAGCAGGACCTGGAAAGACCCCAAGATACCTCAAGACTCCAGAACATCATGTTTACTCCGATGTGGTAAAGTCATGCGTAAAGAAGCGTAAAACATGTTGCTGCTTTTATTTGACAAACATGGGTGATGACAGCGTCGTTTATCGAATTGTAGGGATAGCGGAAACATGTTCTTTCGGTGTGAGAGGAGGAACTGAAGGAGCAAGAGCAGGAAGAAGAGAGGCTGTGAGCACCTTTTGACTCATTCCGTGCAGACTTATGAAGAATTTCGCTCATCAAGATAATCAAGTCACGGGTATAGAAAGTGCATTATGCGGCCAGAATCCTCGGCTATTTCTTGTTCCATGCCGCCGTTTGCCCATCTTGGCTTACCCGACACTGCCTGACACTATCCCAACACTCGACACCTTGCAGAAGTTTCGGCCCAAACTGGACCCTTCCGCAGCAAGCAAAGGATGACAGATGCCGTGCAAGGGGTGGCTTGCTGCAGACCGGCGAAGGGATGTGAAGGGTGCAGCCGTTCGGATAGGACGCCACCAAAAAGAAACAATGGGGATTTGGGGAGCTCCACTTGTTGGAGACCACAATGGCGTGTGCTGCTGGATGTTCTGCTACACATGAGTAGCAAACCAGGAGAGAAGCTGTTGCTGTTCACAGCCGGCCACAGGCTGAACATTTGTAGAGCAAAGCCAGGGACCAAAAAAAGGAACCTTAGCAGACGAACTGAAATGAACTATAAAACAATCGAATAAAGACACCTCCTGTTGTTGTTTTTGTGCTTACTTGTGTGTGTGTGTAAACTTCTCAGCTTGAACTCTTATCAGTGGAGACATTTGCGGATGGGCAGCTTGATTTTGTGGGGCCATTTTTTGATACTCATATCACTGCACCGAACGTACACTCGGAAAACAATCCAAAACAGCATAGATCCCGAACAAGTGGACACTGAGGGCCTAAGTGTTCAGACTGCTTCTTGCCTGGCCTGGAATTCCCTGGTAGCTTTGCTTCCTATTTTCATGGCTTAAAGCAGTGGGGGAACTTCAATCCGATCTTCTCGACTGTTTCAATACATTTGGGGCTTTCTGTCTTTTATTCCTCCTGTGTGGCTCACACGACCCCCCAAAAGGAACACTCCGTCACCCTTTTAGCATGGCGCACTCTTTGAGGCCCTGGAGCAGGTCCTGCGACAGCAGCAGGCCTCCTTCACATCCATGGAGGCCTTGAAGGATCAACACCGGCTGTGGCAATCTGCGGTGGAGGACATGAAGACGATGTACGGCAGCGCAGTTTAGATTTTCTTTTTTTGGGGGTGATGGGGACGAGAACTTATCACTAACTGAGCTCTTACTGAGAACATGTGCAGATGTTGATGTTGTTATTCCGAGGATGGCAAGCCGAGGATGTAGGAGGGTAAAAGGAGAGATTGAGCAAGCTTATTTTCCATGAACCTTGATTGTGGCTTTCTTTTCGGCCGGGCAACTCGACAGCTTAGACGCAGAAGCTACCGAAGCAAGCAACCACCCGATGCCAATGATGATTGGGCAATCCTAGATGCATTCAATACCAAGCACATTGTACTAGATCATAAATTATCATACTGCCATATATTGCCTATGCCACTGACCACAACCTGCCCTGACTTTGCCCTTGGCTCATCTCGGTTCCACATTTTCCCAGGAGCTGCTCACTCAAGTGAACTCCCCACCGGGCGCCTTGCCCATCCGCCTGGCCGTCGAGCCCGAAGCTCCGGAGCCCGAATCTCCGGAGCCCGAAGCTCCGGAGCCCGAAGCTTTGGAGCAGACGTCGGAGACGTCTCGCGCCGCCGAACCCCCCGCACTCGCGGAGTCGCCACGCGGCGCGTCCCGGGTGCAGAGTGTGCGGAGCAGGGACTCGCCATCGCGGATGCGGCTGCAGACCCTCCGGAAGTCGATGCGGGGTCGGATGCCCAAGCTGCTGGAAGAGGTGGGACAGCGTTTTGCTCAGCGTCATGTGACGTGTAGATATTACATATATATAATCCGAGAATATCCGAGACCCCGCAAAAGACATGTTTTCCGGTCAGGACAATTTAAGGCAAAGCTTAAAACACCAACGCAACAAGCAGATTTGGTGTCAATTTTTGTCATACTTTTGCGTTGATTTTGTCACTTCTGTGTCATTTTGGCGTCATGTTTTCTGTCGCGAACTTGCTGCATTTTTCTGTTTCATGTTTTCTGGCGAGATGGACAAACATTGTTTCATGGTCCAGGATTATAATGGATTATATATATATTTCCCAAACAGTGTGGACACACTAGGGGTCTTACGGTAATGGTTAAGCAGCGGTGTTAGATTAGAGGTGTTGCACCGACGTGTGCGGCTAGTTCGTTGCTATTTACAGTACATTCGTGCCTCTCGAAATCCTCGAAGTGCATTTCGACCGACAGGTGCAGTGAATCGTGACTTTTCTACATGTGGCAGGTTTTCAGAAATCGTGGCAGGTGCAGTACTTTGTGGACCTTGAAGTGCAGGCACAGCACCTTGCAAACCTCGAAGTGCAGATTTCAAGGCAGGCGTAGGACTTTGTGAACCTCGAAATGCAGATTTCGTGGCTGGCGCAGCACTTTAAAACCTCGAGCGGATTTCGTGGCAAGCACAAGCACTTTGTGAACCTCAAACTGCAGATTTCGTGGCAGGCACAGCACTCTGTGAACCTCGAAGTGCGGATTTCGTGGCAGGCACCGCACTTTGTGAACCTCGAAGTGCAGCTTTCGTGGCAGGCGCAGCACTTTGTGCTCTGAGATGCTCACTCTCACTCTCTCACCCTCGCTCTCACTCACACTCACGCTCACGCTCAGTCTCACCCTATACTCTAACTCTCAATTTCTGACTCACTCTCACCCATGCCCTCACCCACTCTCACTGACTCACTCACTCACTCACTCTCTCTCTCTCACTCTCTCTCTCTCTTCTCAACTCACTCTCACACTCACCCTCACGCTCTCGCTCCTCCTCCCTCCCTCCCTCCCTCCCTCCCTCCCTCCCTCCCTCACTCTCACTCACACATACTCTCACACTCACCCACACTCACACTCTCATCTCCACCTTCATCACCACCATCACCTCTCTGGACCCAATGCGTCTAGATCTCTAGACTCTAGACTTTCTGCACCTCACGCACACTTTTTGGGGTCTCTTGCCGGGATTATATATATATATATATATTGTAACCCCCCCCCGCAAACCCACCCTTTCATCAAACTTATTGGTATGTACATTGTTTTATGCCCATTTAAGTATAAACATTGTAAAACATACAATGCATTGCACAATTCAATAACCAAAGCAAATAAACATAGACAACAGCAACAAAATGACAAACCACCACAAAAAATGAAGAGAATGTTTGGCCCAGCCGTAAAAGATGGTTTTTGTGTTTTCATTGTGTTCTTTTGTGGCTTTGAAACCAAAAGGCACAAAAAGACTTATGTATTTTCTTACACGGCTTATGGTTAAAGAAGACAATCAAAAAACAAAAAGGGTTACAATAAACCGTCAAAAAACAAAAACACAATGAACACCAAAAACATCTTTTGAGGCTGAACCAAACATTCTCCTCAAAGTTGTTTTGTTTTGTTTGTGCTTTGGTCCTTTAGGCTTTTGCGCAACATGTGTTTTTTGAAGTTGAATTTAGATTTGAATTGAAGTATAGTTAAATTTTCATTGGAATATTCAAGTTTGTTGTATTTCCAATCGGCTTCAAGTTTCGATCTAATTCAACTCCAATTTTAATGTTATACATTATGTTTTTTAACCAAAATTGAACTGTTTTTGATAACAATCGACTTTTCGATGGTAATTTAATTGTAAATTTAGAATTTGAAGTCTAACTATTGTCTATTTAAGTCTAACTTAATTCTAAATTTAGAATTGTAAATTCGAATTTGAACCTGATTGAGTTCAATATTGAATCTATTGATTGCTCAAGTAAGTTTAGTTGCAATCTGCTTTTTGATTCTAATTGAATTTGCGTTCAATTCTAATTTAGTTTCATTGTAAATGTAACTTAGTTTTTTAATTCTCATTCAAGACTAATTCTTATTCATCATTATTACAATAATTGATTTCTATCCGAGCTGCAGGTTAAACAATTCTATTTCAATTCTATCTTAATTCTTTTCCAATTCTACTTGGAGCAATGAAATGTTGACTCAATCTTAGTTTAATTCCAACTCATATCTACAATTGTTTGTCAAATTCAATTTAGTTCATACATATGTCAAAACATTTTTGTATTTAAGTTTCAGTTTCAGTTCGTTTAAATCTCTTACAATCATTCAATTTCAGTTGTTTGCAATTCTAGTTTAATTCTATTTTCATTTCCACTTTAATTTTTGGTTGATTCATATATATTTTAATTCGTTTCTTGTTCAATGCAAAGTTAGTTCTAATTCAAAGCAAATTGAATTCTCATGTAATTCTGACCTTATTCTAGAGAGAGGGTTTTGCTGGGGGTCTGACTTTAAGAAAACAACCTTGAATAAAGCAAAACATAAACTATATACAAAGCGTTCCTTTTAAAGCAAACACGCACTCTCTAGAAGCAAACAAACTCGAATGTATAAAACCACCTGATCCGAAGTTAGATTAGGTTCTACTTCTCAAGCAGTGTAAATAACTCAAGCAAAAATAAAATTGAAGTAAACATATATTAAACCTTCTGAGGCCAAATTAGAACAAACTATGAGCAAACTAAAAAAGACGCAGTTCATTACGATTATTTTTGCAACCGTTAAAAACAACTACAATTTAATGTTTTCTGAAAACAGACTAGCTTCATTTTAAGCGTTCTTGATTAAACAAAAATAAACGCAATCCAATTGCAATCCAATAGCAAAACAACGGCACATATTTATGGGCTCTGCAGTTGTTATTTTGCGGTATTGCGCGTTACCAAAACTGCACAGCCCTATGTCTCCAAAGTGGCTCAGGCCAGGGCACTGCAGCTTTGATATTTTTGTATTTTGGTTTTAGAGGGAAAACCAACGTACCAAAGTACCAAAACTGCACAGATCTATGCCCCCAGAGTGGCTGAGGTCAGGCCTTGGGGTTTGTGCAGTTTGTTTGTTTTTTGTATTTTGATTTTCGAGAAAGAACCAAACTACTGTAGACCTCATCACCTGCAAAACCAAAGTACCAAAGTAGCAAACTCAGCAGACCCCACGACCGGGGGAACCAAAGTACCAAAGTATCAAAACTGCAGACCCCATGGCCTGGGGAACCAAAGTACGAAAGTACTAAAGTACCAAAATTGCAGACCCCATGACCTGGCGAACCAAAGTGCAAAAGTAACAAAGTACCAAAACTGCAGACCCCATGACCTGGAAAACCAAAGTACCAAAGTACCAAAACTGCACAGACCTATGTCCTCAGAGTGGTTGAGGTAAGGTCATGGGGTTTGCAGTTTTGGTACTTTGGTACTTTGGTTCCCCACGTCATGGGGTCTGCAGTTTTGGTACCTTGGTTCCCCAAGTCATGGGTCTGCAGTTTTTGTATTTTGGTATTTTCGTAGGCGAGATAATTTAAAAGCAGGTGGGTTTGGGGGGGCTAGCATATATATATATATATTCTGGGTTTGGGGGGGCTAGCACATATATATATATATATATGTATTCTTTTTTGGGGGGTCGGATTTGGATGTGTAAATCCAAAGTGCGGTGGATGTTCGGCATTTGCGCGGTGGCCCGGTCGAGGTCTTGTTCGACACCGCCACTTCAGTCTACGTGCAAACCTCATGGTGGGAAGCAAAGCGGAGGGGCTTAGAGGCTCCGCTGTGGATCAGTCTCACTGTGGACCTCTCGCCAACGCCATGAGCACGTCCGACCCAGAGTTATATGCAAGAGAACAGTCATGATCATTCCCCCTTACAGATAAATACAGAGTGTTCATGGAACGTTGGAGAGAGGGCATACTTGTATACATTGAGGTCAATTGAGGTTGTTAGTTTTTCTTCCCAGATGGCTGAAAGCTATAGCATAGGGTTGAACTGCTTTGCGCTGTGATACATGGCTCAAGAGAGAAAACCGGCGCTACCTGTCCTGTTGCCCTTGATTGGGCTCTGCGTATGAGAAAGGCAAGATTCCTATGTGGAATCAAGTCGAAAGTCGAAAGACAAACAGTTGTTTGAGCGTATAGTGAGGGCGCAAGAGGCGCCAAGAGCGCTACGACAAGGAGTTGGACGAGAGCTACTGGCGAAGAGTTGAGGAAGCAGAGCGTGCAGACGACAGTCTGAGTGCGGTTGGCCCCGCTTCAGAAGCTCCGCTTCAGAAGCTCCTGTGAGGACAAGAAGGAGGTTGTGAAAACTTTTTTCACATCGAACTCTTTCTGGAGAACACTTGGGTATTCCTTCAGAGGACCACCAAAGAAGGAGCACGTCTTTGAAGAACCTGCAGTAGTTCCTGAGGGAGTTCAGGAGCCAGGTGGTTTGGAAGTCAGAGCCTGAGAAGAAGCAAGGAAGGGTCCCAGGAATGCCAAGTCTGAGACCCCTACGTTCGATTGACTGCAGGGGCTTTAGAGAGGAGTGAGAAGCTGATCAATTTGACCACCACTTTGATCTGGCTACGGAAGACAGCGAGGTTTTGAGAGCGTGTTCAGCTGAGAGAGCAGGTGCGCAAGTTCCTGCCTAAGGGCTCAGTTGGTCAGGAGATCCTCAAGGAGTTGGGCGCTACTTGTTCAAGGTGTGCTGAACGACGTCCAATCCTAGCGCAGAAGCTCAGAAGTTTGCCAAGAAAGGGTTCCCCTCCAAGCAGGTGCAATTGCAGGCCTACGAGGCCGACAGCACTGCCCCAGCGGCGGAAGAGATTGACGAGGAAGATCGAGTATTGGTGAAATCTTTGCCAAACATGTCCTTGGAAGATCTGGTCAGTGAACTACGTACAGAGCTGGCTGGAGCAACCTCGGTGACAAAAGGACTGCAGAGTTCAGTCCAACAGCAGCAAGCACAGATTACAGAGTTCATGCAGGTGGCTAGAGTCAACAACCGGTTCCAGATGGTAGTCCACAGGCAGCTCAACCTAGTCCACCTACGTCTCCTGTTCATGCAACCTTGATGCTATTGGCTATTGGTTGATACGCATACTTTGGGGAAACCTGACGCGTTCAGTGGTGTTGGGTCCAAGTTTAGAGATTGGTCCGTGGTGGTTGGTGCATATCTTGGTGCTGTAGATCATCGCTTTCCAGAGATGCTGGAGAAGGTGGAGACAGGAGTGGGTGTTCAGGAAGCTGAGACTGACGCCAAGTCAGACGGCCCTTTCAACGCAACTATACTACACTCTGGTGATCTGTAAGGAGAGAGCTTTCGATCTGGCTGTGAATTGTGGTAATGGTGAGGGCTTCATGGCGTGGAACTCTTTGTGCAAGGAGTTCTGTCCAAAGCTGCAATCGAGATACGTGTCAATATACTCATGCAAATCCTTGCCTTCGACTTTGGGGACAATTTCAAACGTAGCTTCAGGGGTTGCTGCTTTTGAGAAACTCATCAGGGAGTATGAGACGCAGTCAGACGGGTAAGGTGGTTGAAGATGACCTCAAGTTGGGTGTGATCACCAAGAACATGAAGGACAATTCATTGAAGGAACACCGGATTCGTCACGCAGCGTTTTTGACTACCTAGAGATTGGTTGAGGCAAGAGCTTTTGTTTGCGTTCAAAAGTCCCTTCAAGACAATCCTCAACCCATGGAGGTAGGTGGACTTCCCAAAGGAAAAGGAAAGAAGGACAAAGGAAAGGGTAAGACCAAAGACACCAGCGGTGGCAAGGGCAAAGGCGCGGGCACCCAAACTGACAAGAATGCCAACAAAGACAAAGAGTGTTTCCCCTGCAAGAAGTATGGGCGTGTCAAGGCTGATTGCAGGAAGGGATTAGCTGATTTGAAGAAGGCAGAAGGTAGGCCTGTGGGCGGTACCGCGGCCGCGACTTCAGGCACATCCTCTTCATCCAGCGCAGGCCAACCTGCAGGGAAGGCCAAGAGCAAGCCGGCTGGTGGAGTCTATGAGATGATGAGTATGTTTGTGCTCTGCCTCAAATGCTTGTGGCAAGCATTTAGGGGGAGAACAAATCGATGCTGTTTGATACTGGTTGTGGTTCCCGTGCGTTTCCCGAAGGATTTGATGAACATGCAGTGGATGGCAGTGGTAGCTGTTTTGTTGTCGACAGTCACGGGTGAGAAGCTAGAGCCAGGAAGAAATCATGGTTGTGCCTTCAAAGGACTACGTCGAGGACATCGAGTTTCCAATCTATCACATCCATGGATCAAATGGAGAGAAGCTCAAAGAGACACTGAAGTCATGTCAGAATAAAAATCCCATTGAAAAAGGACGGAGTTTATTGGTGGGAGCTTGATCGTTCGAAGAGGTTGAGCCCAACGCCCAACAGCCTAGTGGCCGCAGCGCGCAGGGTCCACGGTTCCAGCGCAGCGGAGTTGTTCCAAGATGAAGAAGTACCACCAGAATCAGGTGCTTCAGGCGACCAAGCAGGCAGTGGGAGTGCCGGTCGGGGTTCGCTGGAGGTCCCGCACCCTCTTGAGGTTGCGGAGGAAGATCCTCAGCCAGAGGGAGGCATCAGAAATCCTAGACGCAAACGTGACCCACCTACAGTGTCCAAAGATGAGATGGATGAGCGCGAGCTCACCCACGTTCCTTTCAGGTCATGGTGTCCTAGCTGCATCGCAGGAAAGGCCACAGAAGATTGGCATCAGAAAAGAAAGCTAGATGAAGTCTCGAGAATTGATCTAGACATTGTTTCCTCAAATCAGTTTTGTGCAAGGTCCCAGAGACCATCAACGAACGGGGGGGGAAGCAGACAGAGCGCAACCTACTGTTCTTGTGGATGTTCAAACAGGATGTGCTTTTGCAACGCCAGTTGGTCCTGAACCTTATGCTGTAGCATTTTGCATTGAAGATCATTGAAGCATTGAAGTTTCTCGGACATGGTAGGATCATCCTTCAGAGTGGTGCTTTGTGTGAATGGTCTGCAGGAGCAGGATTGAGGACTATCCCCAAAGGCAGTCATTAGTCCAATGGTGTTGTTGAGCGAGCAATTTTTTCAGGCAGCGCGGCAGGTTCGTTGTTTGAGGCACCACTTCTTGACAGTGTGCCCCGCTTTGACGATGACCTACGGCCACAAGTTGGCTGGTTGGTGAAACATGCTTCATGGTTGTTGGCCAGGTTCACTGTGAAGGAGGATGGCAAGACTCCCTCAACCTGGCCTGATGTTAGGCAAGACCTTGTCCAGCGATGGCCACATCATTGGAACTCACCAAGGTGTTCGAAAGCGTCGGACGATTTTCCGGCGGCCCGACAACAAAAGGCAATCTGATGTAAGATGGGTTGAGCAAAGTGTAGGCACTCCATGGCAGCCACGAAGGCAACCTGTTTTGACTCCTGGCTCAGTTCCAGCCCGTGAAGGTGTTTCAGAGCGCAAGGAGCCCCGGATGAGTAGCCCAGAAGTTTCTTCAAAGAAGTCTGTTTACATCACTGTTGAGAGGCAACTGAAGTATGGAAGTATGGTGTGCACAACAAACCTCATAGTGAAGCACACAAGAAGCGTTTTCGTAAGCTGATTGAGAAGGTCAGTGTCCCGGTGTCTTGAAGGAGGCAGCTCGGGCACCTGCGACGCCTGCCGAACCAGGAAGCCACATGGAAGCAGAGCCAATTCGAGGTTCTTCGTCTTCAGCCGGAACAAAGCGAAAGAGTTCGGACATTCAGGAAGTGGTCCGGATGAGTGACCAGCCAATGGGTTCAGTCTTCGAAACCTTTCGTGGACATGTTGGAAGAGGTGAGCTTGTGACACTGCATCTTGTTTCAGATGTTTTTGTTGGAGCCACAGAACAGTCTTCAGGTGGCATTGGAGTCATACATACCTCGATGATGTCATCTGGAAGTTGAACAAAGCCATGAATAGGACAAGAGAGGCATCAAATTGCTGGGGAAACTAGATGAGGAACACAAAGAAGAAGCACGGTTTTGATGAACGACCAGTTCTTGCCAATGTTTACTTCGACAAAGAGTGGGAAGTGGTCATGACTGTTCATGGAGATGCTTTTCTGGCAGTAGGACGTTCTGCTGACTTAGACAAAGTGGACCGCATGATGTCAGAGAGTTATTGGACCAAAGGCTTTTGGCGGTGAAGTAGACAGTGGTGAGCACTTGCATAGAAAGATTTCGTGCAGCCCTGCCAGGTTCACATGCGAAGTAGACCCCACGTAGAGCGCTTGATGAAGGACATGCGCGGGTCCTGGAAAGTGGTGTGAAAGTGAGAAGGTCGGCCGGCCAAGAACGGCCACGGGCGGCTTGACGGATGGCTTAAGATGCTTGGGGTGCACGTCGGCGCGATTGGGCAATGTGATGCAGCGTGCAGGGAGAGTAGGAGATCTATGAGCTCACTGGCGGTGAGACTTGGGAACCATGTTCTAGGGACTAGTTGCGCCAATCAAAGTGTGGCAGCACTGTCTTCAGGTGAAAGCGAAGTCTACTCAGTCTACTCCTTAGTCCGTGGAGGGGCGCAAGGGCTTCAGATGAACCAGCGCCTTGAGTTCATGATGGTAAAGGTTGAATTGGTTCTTCTCTCAGACTCTGCAGCAAGAGGTATTTGTCAGAGACAAGGTTGAGGCAAGCAAGGTCAAGCATCTTGCCATGAGGGGGCTGTGGCTGCAAGCGGCCATGTGGGAACGAGGTGCCTAGACAAGGCTCTGACTGGCCAGTGGTTGTACCAGCACTGATGGCTACCCTGGTTGCGCCTGTTCGAGCGCAACCGGATGGCAGTCTTGAGGGCTTTGACATAGCAGTGGTCACGCTGAGGAGATTGCTCCGTGTCCTGAGCTTTGTTTTGGGACGATGGAGTGTGGGGAGTGTGAGGCCGACTATGGTGTCACAAGAATGCCAGACAGAAGAAGCCAGATTGGGAATGGAGACTAGGCCTGGCCTAGCAGCTTCCAGATGGAATCGCGCGCGTGAGAGTCCGCAGCCTGGGTCATGCGAACAGCATGATAGACTTCCAAGGTCTTCCACAAGGAGAGAACTTATATATATATATATATAGAAGAAATGTTCCCAATGCACTTCCCAAAACGATCTTGGCCCGTATGTGTCGAGATCTTAGGTTTTATGTCACCGGAGACAAGGCTGACATAGTTTGGAACATTGGCAGCGGCAACCAGCTGCGGCAGCTCATGAGAGTCTTCAGCGGTCTCGTGCTAGGCCTTCAGCTGAGGACATGGACTGAAGAGAGGCTTCTAGCTTGGTTGAGCCAGCATAGCTGCTATGATTGGTAGAATTTAAGAATCCACAGGTTGGCCAAAGCTGAAACAGCTTAGGTCACGGAGGGATCGTAAATTATAACATATTCATGTGTACCACATGATTGAAAAGATGCATGTGCAAAGTGTCCAATTTATGACTTGGAGGTCAGTACAGAGGAATCCCTAGAACCATAGGGTGGGACTGTTTTGCCCAAGAGAGGAAACCAGCGCTACCTGTGCTGTTTCAGACGTGCTTCCGTTTTGAGAGTCATTTGCTATTTTGGGGTCTGTGCCGGTGCAATTAATGTCTTTACATATTTTGTCCGACTTGCACGGGTAGGCACATCAAGGCTTTCTACAAGGTCGGTTTGACAATTGCGCATCACTTTATAACATCGTGAACATGTGAACTACTTTCAACCAGACGTTTCTTTCAGTGCAACACCAGCAGCTGGAGTTGATAGCTGTGCCATGGTGAATATGGAGTGATGCATGGCAAGCGGGACGGAACAAAAACAACAGAATCAATACTCAAGTGAACCTAAGGAGAAGATAGTGGACTCCAGGCTTTTTGAGTTTTGCACCGGCCTCATCATTGCGGCAAATATTGCCTTGATTGGTGTGGAAGCTGAGATGTCGCTTGGGAAGTCCAAAACATGTTGTGGGCATTTCCGTGTATTCCTACATGGTTTTTGTTTGTATACATATGTATAATACAACGATTTTCGGAACAACATTTTTTTTAGTTGTTTTGCTGCGTTTGCCTTTGCTCGCTGTGAACGCGCCCGCAACGAAACAAGGTCACTGTTGGGCCATAACACTTCATGGGCCACCACCAGTGAGCAAATCTTCCTCACCATCTACACTGTGGAACTGTTTTTGCGCGCGGTGGTTGGCCGCTGGTCCGTGTTTCGCAGCAATTGGTGTCCCATCTGCGTTTTGGTGCGTTTCGCGTAGCGCCGCACACATTTGTGAGCCAACCGAACAAAACCATGGCGCAAGGCGCAAGGTGACAAATTGTGGTCAATGCATCGATCGAATGAATGTTGGACTCCATCATGTCGCAGTGCATGACTTGGGTGAATCAGCAAAAGAACAACAATTCTCATTGAAAGGGTGCTTGTGTTTTCCAGTTGAGATCAGCAGCAGCTGCGATCTCCAAGTGTGAGTGCAGGTCCTATTCAGATGACTGATGCTCAGAGTTGTGTTCACCTGCCTTCAGGGGGCCAGGTTCTTGTTGGAGAACGGAATTTACCCCGAGGTTCTTGTTGGACCTGGTGCTGGTGGTTGTGGGCTTGCTGGCGCTGGTGGTGATCCCTATCTTTGAGCGCTCGGAAAATGCTCAAAAGGGTTGGGAGCAGATTTTGATCATTCGAGGCGCCGAGCGGTCGACTGACATTGGCCTTCACAAAGCGGGATGGGCATGGGGTTGGTTGATATATATTTTTTTTTGCATTATGTACACCATGTTTTTAAGTAGGCAAAAAAAACACGTTCAGGATTTCTGAAATTTGATTCAAAAATATTTGGAGCATATAGAAACGATATTTATATATATATATATATCATATCAGTTCGACTGTTCAAAGACAAACATTTCCCGACCTGTGGGTTGGAACTTGAGATGTTCAGGTCTCCGACTCCTGCGCCTAGCACGCGTCTTGCGCATGGTGTGGCGGTTCAAGGTGATTTGGCGCTTGGTCTCTGGACTGCTGACCGCCTGGGATACTATGGTGTCCACCACCATTTTGATCTCCATTTGGCTGCACCCCTGCCTGTGATTATGAACACGTCCGGCGAATTCGTCGCGGCGAGTCGTGGCAATGTTTTCAATCGTGAGATGCTGTTTTGTTGCATCACGGACCTGAACCATCCTGTGCCTATGTTATTTTCACTGCCATGGTGAATTATTGCTGATGATACATTTGCAATCATGTACATGTTTTAAGGGATCCCACATGCCCAATACAATAATACAGTGGCCCATCAACTACTCCACCATTGTTTTTGGAAACTTGATAGCTTACTGGCAGCACGTTCACAGCTGTTTGCGCCGGGCAGGACCGGCCTTCCAAATGTTCCACGGTGTTCCATGACATTGCACGCCACGCAATGTCTTTGGCACAGCCATGGTTTGACACAGTGTAATTTGGGGAGAGAGCAGGAGACGTGCTCATCATGTGAGTCGGATGCCGCCCGAACCACGTTGAACTAAACGCGGAAACATCTCGTTTAGGCCACGCGTTTCCACGCGAAGCTGTTGGTGCCAGGTACATCTTCGGCTGCTTGGACCGTGCTTCACGGAAGCTGTTCTTCTTGGGTGTTCTTTCACATCATACGGCATCTATACACCCAAACTGCGAATGTTTGGATGAAAGGAATCCAACATGACAAGACTGTTGGAGTCCCAGCTTTAACGGACCAGATGTCATGCGGATTTCTTTGGATCCGGTGTTGTCTGACTCCTGCCGTTGGTGGGGAACCCTGCGCTCAGCCGTGACAGTTGGCCTCTCCTTTTGAAAGTTCTTTATGCCCTGACATGATGGGGGAAGCATTAGGAACAAATGGCATCGCTACTAGGAGCAAGGACGTAACTAAAAGCTCCTGGCCTTACTACTAGTAACAAGAAGCTACTAGGAACAAAGGGCATCGCTACTAGGAGCAAGAAGCTACTAGTAATATCCAATCTCCAATGCAATTGTTATGGCGTTTCGAAACTGTACAGTCACAGGCTGTCCAATTTTCTCATTGTCACCAACTCAGGCTGCGTGGCAATCGAGGTGATTACGGCGGACACAGATCTCCAGAGCAACAGCGACACTGCGCAAATCGTGGACTACTACTTCTCCAGCCTTCCACGAGCCACCCTGACACTCATCGACACAATCGACCCCAAAGACTCAACGTATATTTTTTGAGATTTGGATTTGGCCCGATGTCTATTGATTTCACTTGCTCCTGATGTCAATAGGAGTCTTCAGGTCTCAACCCAGCAAAGTATTTGCTGATATCACTGACATGCCTTGAGTTTGTCCGTTCTTACCTGTAACTAACACTTGGCAAACAATTAACCACTATGTTTGAACAAGGCCTTTAGTCCAAACCATCATCATCCACTGTTATGATAGGATAGGCCCAACTGATAGCACTGATATCCCATATATAAATATTTATACTTTAGAGGAGTCCTCACTTAGACCTGGAAATAAGGCCCTACATGGCCGTGCCGGGTTCTATCAGCTCTCCCCAAAACTTGATCGATTTATGTCGGCGGCTCCTGCGGCAAAGTCGACTCCCCAACGTTGCGGTGCAAAAGGGGTTTGAGGCCCAAGCAGACAGGCCTGGCCGTCCACATCCACAAAATGTTGTACATGACATGTAATGACTGTAATGACTCCATTCTGTTTGGCCATATGGGCCATGTGTGTGAGCGAGCATGCGCACATGGCTAGAAGCTGGGGAGGCAAGCAAGCCAGCAAGTAAGCAAGACAAAAAGTGAGGACGTCCAAAAACCAATGAAACAATTTACCACAGCCCCTTGAGCAATCCAGGTGGAAAATGTAGCAGCAAAGTCCCAAATGAGCAGGGAGGGGGTACGTCATAGACATCAATTGGGTTGTCCGTTCTTACCTGTAGCACTTGGTGAACAATTAATTGTCATTTCAGAGAAAGGCCTTTACTAACCATCATCATCCGCTCAAGGAATGGGATATACCCAATATATATAGCTTCCCGGTCCACCTGAGGTCAAAGCCATTGCTCAAGAACGTTGTAAAATGGCAAAGTTTGATTGCCATTCCGGGCCATTCCATTTGCTGCTTTGAGGCATGCCTGCTCAAGGAGGTCCCCAAACCAAGAGCCACCAATGATTTCTGATGATTTCTGATTCGTTCTTGTTTTGCAGCTTTTCATCGGAGGACCTTGTTACAGTTTGTAACGATGGATGCCATTGCCAACGTCTACTATCCGCTGGTCGTTTCAAAACCGGTCCTGATCATCTACTTCCTCCCGCTGCTGATGTTTCTTTCGATTGCGTTGATGAACTTGATCACAGCAGTTTTGGTGGCTTGTTTGATTGAAGATCTCATGAAAGCAAGAATGTAGAGAACAACCGCCACCAGCACGGAGAAACTGCAGGTTGGGCAGTTAAGTAGTTCCATTCATACCCTGGGATGATCTTAGTCCTTTAAGAACGTCATTTTTGGAGATTGATGAGTCGTGAAGATTACAATGAGCTAGCCGACAAACAACTCAGGGAACGAGTGCTTGATGGGACGCAGGTCATGCCCAGGTGGATGGAGCACGCTTTGGAACATGAAAATAATAATGTACTGTATATATATACATATATATATATTATATTATATATATATATGTGAGGCCATTGCTAATAGGTTGGAAGCCATCGCCAGTAGGTTGGAGGCTAAGCTAATAGGTTGGAAGCCATCTCCAGTAGGTTGGAGGCCATCGCTAGTAGGTTGGAGGCCATTACTACTAGTAGCAAGAAGCTAGTAGTATATAACTGAAAAGAAGGAAGGCAAGGGCCCGTGTCAAGGTCTCCTCCTTTCTTGATACCCACGTGTTACTTTTTCTTGCCTTTCCTGTTTGGTCGGATTTCGTCGATGGTTAGGTGGAGCACGCGTTGGAGCATGCATCACAAGAGGCAGAACTGGCACGGCTCAAGAAAAAGCAAGAGATCAAGGCGACGTACCTTAGATTGAATTATAACCAGCCTAATTGATTTGGGTGTGTGAATGTGTTTGACAGACATGCCTTACAACAGGATCTCATAAGAGGGATATTTAATGGTGTATCTTGCAAGAGTTTCCCGCGAAAGGTTCATACAGGAGTGTTCATCGCAAGTAAGTGTCTTGTGAACGTGTTTTGCAAGTTTTGTCTGCGAGTGCAGTGGCCAAAGCGTTTGCCAAAGCGGGGCCTTTTGCCAGAGTACTTTTCTCTCTCACCTCCTCTCCTCTCTCGTCTCTCGTCTCTCCTCTTCTCCCTCACCTCACCTCGGGCCATTCTATCCTCGCGACCCTTTGCAACATGAAGCATTTGTGCTGTTCAGGTTCAGGAAGAGGGCGAATTAGAAGTCATTAGAATCAGAGTAGAATAGAACTCCTAGCATTGTTTTCACCACAAGTTTCCGGGGAAGTACCTACAGTAGTTTACTTGAGACTGTGTGCAAGTTCCAGACCTGAGGTTGCCTGACTTGCTGGAGGTGTTTTGCACACTTGACGTGGATTCCAGCGGCTGTTTGACACGGCAAGAGATCACCAATGTGCCCCTGACGGTACTTCCACCGAAGGTCTTGGAGAACGTGCCTTGAATGCGTTCCATATTTAGTGGTTGAATTCGTGTTATGTGTAGGGTCTATCGCAGTAATTACCAGTCACCGTCGGCAAACAATTGTGGCTATTTTTGAACAAGCCCTTTATATACTAACATCCACTGTTGCTGGCAATGGGATAGGCCCAAGTTATATGATTCATACAGTATAATAGCAATTGAAACAGGCCACGTCTCGTCTTAGAGCTTAGCACATGAGGGGAAGCTTGCGGCTTTAAGCATGCGCCTAAGCTTGAGCTCGCTTGAGCTCGCTTCGCTTGGTTTCAAGGTCTCCGTGGAGAGCATGGAAGACCTCTTTGAAATGTTGGATGTAGATGGTGGGGGCAGCCTCACTCAGGCTGAGTCGCTCGGAGCGGGTGCCAGGCCTTTTTGTCCTCTTTTTTGGCACAGGAAAGATCCAGATCCCAATCTACGCATGGATGACAGTAGATGTTCTGAACAAACTGTGTATATATAATCTATATTTTTAATGAATCATATATGATTCATGTGTAATATGATTCATGCAATTCAACTGTGTATGACTAATATGTAACATATATATGATTCATATGCATGTTGAACCTAGGATGCAGCCGGTTAGGGTTGTACGCATCTTCAGCCCACACTGAAGGACCCAACACAGCCGGCCCTTCCATCCGCCGGATAGCTGCCAACAGCAACTCCCAACACGATCGATTTGAGTAGATTCGATTAGTGTTTGTATATGATCAACTCCAGCATTTCATGAGGTCCTTTACTGACCCTAGGGATTTACTAGGAGCACGTCTATAGCGACATCTACTATGAAAAAAAAATAGCAGTTGCACCTTACTATCTATAACTTGCAGTAGTTTGTGACTATGCCTAACAGTGGTCAGGCATCTTTGAGAATTTGATTGTCATCCTGTCGGCTGAGGTTTCTAGAAGGCTTGCTGAGCCTCTTGTGCCTGGGATTGAGCTGGGATAATGGATCGAATTCCTGTTCCTTTCTAGTGAGTAGAGCTTTTAGGTGGTGCAAATAGGTGTAGCAACCTACATGCACAGAATGAGCGGATGTTGTGTGCTTCCTTTTGAAGTAACTTGTGCTACCAGCATGGCAGGCTGACATGTTAACATCCATAGTTCTTGCCCACACCATGCTGCCGGCATGCTGCCGGGATCCGGGCCGAGTAAAACCCACCGCCAGGCTGTTGGATACTCCGATTTGGGCCATTCAAATGCAGAGGCTGTTGATGCCGGTGCGGAAGCTCTCGATCCAGATGTCCAAAGATCTGAAGTTTGTCAAAGAGTTTCACGAATACATTCCTGTGTGAATGGAAGAAGGATGTCATTTGACGTCCTGTTTGTGTTTTTTCACTCAAACTGGTCCAGTGCTCACCCCATGCCATGATGTTCTCAAGGAATTGCAAGCAAGATATTGAAACAATGGGAATCGAGAAACCTCACCCTATGAAGAGCTTGTTCATGTCAGTCTGGGGTGTATCGTTCCACGATGGATGCACGGGCTGGATTTCGGCGATGACTGCTGGTGAGGATGCTCATCCATACTTACAAAATTCCAGTGGCCCCTCAACAGAAAGAAGTGGATCGCCTAGAAGAACATGTATTTGTAAAATCAAAACAGACTTTTGGACAAGAGTGAATCTTGAACATGTGTTGTTTTTTGTTTTGGGACCTCTGTACGCCAGGGCAGTGAGCTGCAGGCTTTGTTTAAAACAGTCCCAGCTGCTCAGGCACAACTCGCTGATTTAACGGACTCGAAAGTGCAGAAAATCCGCGAAGCGCAGAGTGAAAACATGGAGCTCAACAAACGTAAACGGTGCTTGTCAGTCTATCCAGGCGTAGGTATGGAACTCACAACGAAACATGTGTTCCTTGTCGTTGCACACACTAGAGTCACTAGATACATCTAGATTCCAGGAACCCAGGGCCATTTTGTGGCAGGCATAGTCAGACTAGGTCAGAATGCATTCTGAACTCTTGTGTCAGAGTGGTCATGTGATCCAAGCGGATCTGGAGTCAGTGTGAAGGAACAATGACCTTAGTAAGAGATAGTAAGAGTAGTGACTTATTCACTTTATTCATGCTCATTGATTGTTCCAACATGTTCCAACATTGCAGTGACAGAAACAACGCGAGGAAGACCTGCTCCCCGTCCTTCCCCCCCTAGCCATCGCCACGCATGAAGGTGGCATGCAGAGCTCCAGCTCGGGCCTCTGAAACCTTCGCTCGGTGGGAGCCGCTATGGGGTTGTCGAACGTCTCCAGCAGGGTCAAACAACGTCTCCATGTTGGCCATGGCTGCGGGTTTTGTGCATTTGATGTTTGACAGCCCAAACAGTCGCCTTGCTAAGCAAGGTGTCAGTCATGAAGGAATGGGGTTGTCAACACGTGGTTTCTTATTGGCTATAGTATAGGCTTGGCATATGTGCTGATGGTTGCAAACATGTTTATAACATGTTGTCAAGGATTTTCAACTACATGACGATTGCAGGTATATTATACATACGTTGGATCACGTTGGTGTTTTTTGTCATCCTCATTGGCAGCAGCAGCAGCAGCAGCAGCAGCACATTCAGCCCCTTGGTGGGTTTGTGGCTTGTGATGGCATCAGGGAGGTATAGTATGCCTCAAGTGTGCCGAAAAGTCCGTGGAAATGCGGCAACCTCTTTCACACCCTGGATAGGCTGCCTTCTAAGCTACCCTTCCCCTCGGGGCCCAGTGGCGGTGTTCGATGGTGTTTTGTAGGATCTGACCCAGATGCCGTCGGATGCTGCCGCGTGCGGGGTCTGCTGAGGCTGCGCAAGGCAAGGCAGGCCAACCGAGATGCGCCCCAGGCTCAAGGCTTTCAGTTCCAGCTATGCAACTAATTCGATGGTTTTTGTTCCATTAAGTTACTTTTAGGTCAGTCATGAGTCATGACCATGGAAGACTTTGAGTCCACCACTTTGGTCAGTGACAACAAGTTTTCAGAGGAAGTGACTTAGAGCCACTGCAAGATCGGTCTGAACGACCGGTCCCTGAGGCAGAAGCGCCCCCTCAAGGAAGACAGGAGATGGCAATACGGGGCAAGGTTGACCCAGAGATATCAACTTTGTTACCTAGTTACTCATGTTACATCATCTGGCTCGATAATATATATATATATATCAGGGTCATCCTGTCTGGGTGTCCAATAGACTACCCTATCTATCCCTACCAGGCCTCCATTGGGCGCCCATTGGAAGTGCTAGGTATGAGCATCATGGGTTCAGCGATGGCCAACTCTGGCCCCCAGGATGACATGACCAGAGGCCTGAAGAACAGAACACGGTGCTTCATCCTGGCGGACGTGTGTCAGACACTACATGAAAGTCTCCCCAAGCTCCCTACCGCCCAGGACTGAGCCAGTTGGCGGGGGTGCCAAGCGCTGTGTTTTTTTTGTATGTGCAGAGATCTCAATGTTTGCTAATGTAATTCCTATGATTCCTATGCAAGTTTTGCTTGTGCATAGGTGTTTTTACAGTACGGGTGTGGCTGTTTCCAAGTCCGCACTCTGGGCAGCTCAAAGCAAAACCAGCTATATACACCGGCAGCATCGATACGGTATGCGTACCAATCTATACCGCATGCAATCTCATACGCGAAGACTCCCATTTGCTTTTTCACCGGCAAAAACGCTCTGAGGTGTGTTGGACGATCTGTTTGAAGCGGCTGAGGAGACACCCATTTCATCCCTTTTCCATGAGATGGTTTTGCTTTAAAGGGCTGCAGGGCTTGGCGTGAGCATCCGGCGTCCTGGGTTTTAACCAGAATGAAAGTGCTTCGATGTTGTTTGGTCTCTAAATACGTTTTCTTTGTTTGTTCTAGGCACAACTTGATGACCTTGTGCAAGATAGCTGTTGATAGCTCACAGACTGCACGTACTAGGCATGCCGGACTGAAACTGGGCCGAAGTCTCGATCGAAACATCATGCTTGGGTGGGTGGTGTTCTTTCTCGTCGACTTCGGCTAAGCCGGAGAAGATGCAAGCGAACGACCCATTTGTCGGGGTCCTTTTGTCGCAGATCGTCGTGGAATGGGCCGCCCAGAGGAACAAGTGGCTGAGGCCATCGAGCTGGACTTTTGGAAGGAGCGGAGCATAGCAGAGCTGCATGTACCTTGGAAAAGTGTTCAAAAACCGTCCCCAAACAGATAGTTGATGTCAATGTATTTAATTACATTTGTTTGCAACATACACGTGTTGAAGGTGTATATATATAAATATGCATATAGAGACACATTCACAAAGTGGTTCACAAGTACTACTCTGCCGATGGATTCAGTTTCGTTTGATTTGGGTCGTACGGTAGTACGATATCTTGAGCAGAAGCCTCCAAGAGGCAAGCAGCTTTGGAAGAATGAAAGACACTGGCCTCTGACCACTGACTTGAGGAGCATGCGGTGCCTCAACTGCAACTGAGCGGCTGCAGGGTTTGTCGAGGGCGCTTGCTTCCCAATTCTGGAAGAAGAGGGCATCCTGGCATGGCCGGTCATTCTGGATGCAGCTTGGAGCAGCTACTGGTGACGTAAATAACCCATAGTAGGCTTTCGCGCGTATTGCTAGTGCTTGCAGTAGTGATAGTGCAACTCACTCGCTGCACTGCTCAATGCTCATAGTCCACAGCCGCAGAGTCAGGAAGAGCTTCTACATGCTTCTACGCATACCTGCAAGATAGAGACCGGGGTGTTTTGCTTTGGATGGACAACAGGAAGGTCCCTGACTGTGGGATGACAACTTTTGGTCATGGCCGCGAACTCCAAGTGCTGGTCGGGCTAGAGTTCTGGCGATTCGTTTGCAGGCCTCCAGCCGAGCCTCAACTTTGCTAGGCTGGCCCTTGGGAGTGTGGACCATTTTATGGAAGGCTAGAAGGATCAGCAAGATGTGCATGCTTGGCGGGTTGAAACGTTTGGTCAAGGCCCAGGGCGTCTTGGATTAACAGAATAAGGGAGTAGTTTGCAAGCTCATGGCCCCTGCTAGCCCCCCGCATCCATGAATGGATGTGGCCAAATCCGATGATTGAAGAAGGTATGAAAGGCTGAATTGGAATTTGATTGAACCCATGGTTGACTTGCTTCAAGGTGACGACCAGGGGGCAGTCTTTGGCAAGGCCACACCTTGGGCGGGCTATGATATTGGTTCGTGCCTTTTGTTGAGTGGCCCACAGCAAAACCGGCCGGAATCTACATGAGATGAAACTCTGTCTTTGGGCAGGGTGATGATTTTGGAAGTGAATCGACTTCGGCTAGCTCCTTTCGACATCGAAGTATAGATCTAATATATATATATATATGCACCAGATGTACTACACAAAACTGTATTACTACAGGCAAGCAGCTGTAAGGGCAATGTCAACAACATCGCCAGGTTTTCGCTTCGACATAATTATTGGGCGGTTTCATGTGCAAGGGTTGGTCCAATGCTAGTGGCACTTGGCACAATTCGCTCATCATCAGGTTCACAGGTCAAAGGCTCATTTCATTGTTGTCACATGGATAGGTTCCAACTGTCAAGACGAGGGTGCCCCATAAATGGGTACAGGAAGCCTGTTTGACCAGCCACCGAGAAAGCCTACTCTCAGTGGCCACCGAGACGGACGATTGGACTGCGCAATTGCCCAGTGGAAACTTGCTGGAACCCCTCAACCGTGCGGCAACTCAAGACCTGGATGGCTCAGCTTTCCTACCAGAATTACGGGGAAAACAGAGTACTGCTATTGCTGGTTGTTGTTTTGGAGCTTTCAACCATGATGGGAAAGGAGAGCCGTTTGACAAGCACGTCAGCACATCGTGAGCTGTTGGTGTTTTTGCCAAGAATGCAAACAGGTTGATCCCTCCTTGCCCGTGTCTCAGTGAAATGTCTCTTGTGGCACCTAGAGAGGTGGTGCCCATCAAGCGCTCTCGCATGATCCTGCAGGGGAATCCACCCGACAGATTCATGTGGTTGGGCTTAACCTTTGTCAAGTGACATCCTTGTGATTTGAATTGTGCAATATGGTCTGGCTCTTTTGAGATTTCGCTGAGAGGTAGAATCTTACATCATTTGGAACAGACGGTGCAGCCAAGAGCCGGAGAGAGAAACAAAGCAATGGAAAGAGAGAAAGACAAAGGGAAATACTTAACATCAACATGATGCCGTGTGGTTTTTGGTATCGCTTCCACGCACATCAGGACCCACCATGATCGACACTGCACTCAGCCAGCGCATGATCTCTAAATAAGATAAATATATAAGGCCGAGAGGCTAGGGTTTCATCCTGCAGCAGCGTCCTTTGCCTGTCCATTCAACAGGTGAAACAGGGCGCGTGGAACGCTGGGTGCCCTCACCCATTCACTTGCCGCATGACCTGCGCATGCCACCTCACCTTGCTGTCATCCCTGGACCGGTGCCTGTGGACGGCACCACGGTGGTGCTAGGCGCAGAGAGGCGCCAGTTGGGGTGGGTGCATCCCAGTGGGCCAGGCCAATTCGGTGAAATGGGCCCTACGTTCCTAAGCCAACTGGAGTGATTGGGTTGTCCTCATCCAGGTGAGGTATCAAAACCGAAGAAACGAAGTGGGGAAGTGGGGGGACGACAACTCACGAAAAGTGGGGTCGGAGCTGCAGTCAGATGACGCGTTCAGCTGGGACTGTGAGCTGTTTCTCCCTAGCTGGGTCACAACTGTCAGTGGGTTCTCAGGCTCTCGAGATGTGGGGGTTGTCAAGTCATCCGGCTGATAACAAGCCCATGTTGGGTGGTCATTCAACGGTCATTACGCTGGCCCACAGCCAGCTACAAGAATGCTATTTCCTGATATGTCCTGTGTATATATATATATATATATGCATACTCTGCGTGTGCTAGACTCAAACATGTTGCCGCTGTGTTGCCCGATGCAGCCCGCGAAGTGTCAGAGAATCATGATTCATCATTCCAGATCCCATGGTGGTACAAAAATGTACTGGTGCACTTGTGCAGCCCAACAAATGGGGCCCAAATCTGGCAGGGCCCGGCATTTTTCTGAAGGAGGGACGGCCCCATGTTGGTGGCCAGAAAACAGACAAGGCGCTGCTCGGAAAAAGGTACAGTAAGTTGCACATCACTAGCACTGGCTTGCGGCACTTAGGATGCCACGAGGGTCCTCCACACAGAGGCGTCTTTTCGCAAGGATTTGCAATTTCATATTTTGTGACGCCGCAGAATCACTTGGTACAGTCCGCAAGCCCTCGCACCGATACTATTGGGGACCCAAGTGTTGAGGTCTTGTTTGTGTGTTTTAGCGGAACTCGTGCTTCTTCATGATTTTTCCAGTTTTTGTGGGATGTTTGTCCTCGGTCAAATGAAGCGAAAGGAAGGAAGGAAGGAAGGAAGGCTTCAGTGGCTGTTGGCTTTTGTGGCTTCTGGCTTGTTTAGCTGTTGGTTTCGGAGACCTGTCTCTGTGGCTTGTGGCTTCTGAAGCTTTTGGTTTTTGTTAGCCACGGCTTTTGGCGTCCGTGGCTTTGGGTTTTTGTAACTTTTGGCTTCTGTAGCTCTTAGCTTCTCCAGCTTTTGGCTTTTGTTGCTTTTGGGTGGGGTGTGACTTTTCGCTTCTATGTTTTTTTCTTGGCTGGCTTAGAGGCTATGCTGCTCACAGTGCTGTGCTGCTCACAGTGGCCAGCGCTGTATGCCCCATGCTGCTGTGGGCTGCCAGCGAGGAAGCTGTGCCGCTCACAGTGGCCGGGGATGCTTGCCCCGTGCTGCTGTGAGTTGCTAGCAGGGGAGCTAAAACGGAAATACCTCACTAAAGCCAAACCAAAACCACCAGGTACCCCTGTATCACCATATGAAAGCGCTACCAGACAAAGTCTCATTTTTTTTAAACAAACAACATGAAGAGAAAAAGGCAGCCCCCTTTAGTGGGCGCACTTTTGAACATCACGTACTGCATAGGGCATAGGGACCACAATGCGGATGCCTGAAATTTGTGTGGTCTCGTACTGCTTTTTGACTTTCTTGATAGCCTGTGGCCGCTGTGTGTTGAGACACCGGCTGCCCAAACGATTTGTGCGGATAGTTGCGTACGGCGGACGTACCGGCGGACCCCACGGAGAAGCGGCGGCGGCTAATGCTTCTGATAAGTGGATATGACTGCTTGGTTCAACCGGCATCCGTGATCTATTTTTCTGCATTTGTGATTTGTTGATTTTATAACTCAAATGGCGGAAATCCTTCCATGAATACGGCATTCGTGCGAAGTAACCACCTGCAAATACCACATACCATGACTTCTAGGGACATGACCACTGCCATCCACCGCCTCTCCTGTAAATACTACTACCAGTAGTGTAACATCTTCAAATACAAATGCTTTCGGGAGCAGGCCTGTCCATCCCAGTAATTATGTCACGACGTGGGCGCCATGAGCCGCTCCTGAATTTGTCAACGCTTGCAAAAGGCATGGCGACATGCAACATACCTGCGGACCAGCCATGCTTTCCCAAAAATGGCACTTGCCATGTGCAAGGAAGGGGCCCAGCTCTGTCGCCACAAAGCCATTGAACCTTTTGTTTCGTTGTGGTGGGCCCTTGTTATTTACATAATATATATTTTTAGGTGTATGCCTGCATGTGGGTACCTCAAATTCATCAGATGATATCGTTTGGTACTGTGTCTTGTTCATCCCGGCTTCGTGGTGTTGGCAGCTGCATTGGTAACCAGACCAGCAGTCACTTGAAAGCGACAGACACCTTGTCCAGGCAGAATGGGCATGCAACGTGTTCAACCTGCATATTTAAATGTGTATGATTCTGTATGAGTACAGACAAACAATCCACATCTTAATTGGTAGATTACGAGGTGGCTTTGCTTCTGCAATAGCAGGGTGTGTGTGTGTGTGTGTGTTTTTTAATAAACAAAATTTGGGTTTGAACATCACAGCTTGGAAGGCAGGTGACGTTTGACTGACCTATGATACTTGTGGTACGTGTGGATTCAATTTGGTTCCTTTGTTGGATGTTTAAAACATACACACACATATATATATATAGATAGATATTTATACATGTAGACGGCAACTCCAAATCATCCATTTCAATGGATACTGGCAGGAACCCAAGCCGGAGAACATATCGGAAGACACATCAAAACATGGACAAAAGGGATTTTCTAGAAAGGCCATGGCTGCCATCGTTATAGCGGCTATGGCCTTTTCGACAGGTTGGCTGTCGATCGCATCTACCGGGACTCCGCAAGCTTCACTGCGGACTCGTTGGTTGCAAGCGCACGGGAAGGCATCAGCTGCTTGGACTGCGAGCCGGGCTGGGTTTGGTTAAGGCAGAACCGAGGTTGGATCGAACGGCGCCCTTTTTTGTATGTCTCTCTCTCTCTCTCTCCATCATTTTTGTTTTCTCAAGATGTACATTTCTGTGCACATATCATACTTGCAACTGCGCAAATTTTGAAACGGCAACCATTATTGCATTTTCAGAAACATATTGCGCGTGTTTTTTTCCCAAAGACTGTGTATATTTTTTTGTGGTGACAAGGCTGACAAGGTGGCAAAACCGGAAGATGTTGCGGTGGCGAGATGAAAAGACACAAAAAAACACGCATCCGCTGGACCCTGCACCACAAGCCGCAGAAGGCTGAAGAAAAGTGCCGTGCCCAGGTCATGGCCTGATTCTCTTGGGCCCCAAACAGAAGAGTTGCAAGCTCCAAACCAGCGAAGCACTTGATGGACACCTTTTGCAGTCGATGGCGGATGCTTTGGTCACAGAGGATCTCCAAGTGTGGCGCCTTGGGCCTTGGAGGTTGCGCAGTCATGTAGTCTTCAGCAGCGAAAAATGACTTTTGTGTCAATGCTCTGTGAAAACGAAACATTATTTTGGAAACCATGCCTTGGATGTGTCGACACGTCCACGATGTCGCTGGGCTAATGCACGATTTGGAGCACTTGGGATCAAACGAGTTCCTGCTCAAATCCAACAAACGTCGTTAGACCACTCTATATATTATCACTCACTGTATCAGTAATTTTGGATTAGACCATGATGAAGCCAAATGGAGTCGCCAAGAAGAACGCCGAACGCAGCTTCGGCAGCCCTTCCCTTCCGGCCCTTCCCTTCGTGCTCAAACACAGCGAGGCTCAGTGCGGTAGAGATTCTGGACGATCAGATCCTGGAGCGGCGAGGGGTTTGGGGGGGCGGCCCGGCGAGGGGGAGGGGCGAAGGATGGAGACACCACAGGGCACCCCCCACCAAATCATCCCAAAACCACTGTGGTTGGTCCATTGGTATTCGGAACATGGTCGATCAGAAACAAGTCGTTTGAGTTCTTCTCAGGGTCCATATTATGGTTTCGTTTGCGGGGGACATGGTTCCATGGGAGGGGCATGTGCCATGTGTTTTTGTTGGCATTTTCTCATGTTCCATTGGAAGTACCCTCCCTCAAACAATCATGGAAGTGGAACATGGCCTGTTCGTAGAGGAAAACAGTCTTCCTTTCGGGGCAGTGTTCCACTTCCATGATTGAATGGAGGGTAGATGTCAAGCCAGGGTTCTCACCTGTAGACATTAGCGATCAGTTCTTTCTTCAAGAATTTGCATCAGTTTGGTCCTGGCATGTGGCCCTGCCGATGCCCTCAGTCACACACTCCGTTTTGCAAAACTGTAGGACGGACAGAAAAAGAAGCCCTGCAAGGGCGCTTTCAATCACTTGGATCCCAGTGCATGGTGCTTGCTGTTCGCCAGGACTTGCTAGCGACAGGGGCACCCTCTGACTGGAAGGAGGCTCCCATGCTGGTGGCACATCCCTCCTTGGGCACGCAGCTGCTTGGAGCTGTCGAGGCCCCTCTTCGGGAGCCTTCAGATCTTAGGGATGCTTGGCCTTCGACTCCGCCTAAACGCGCCGTCGCGGTCATGGTATGCACGGTCATGGTTTTTCACCGCCCCTGGGATATGTTGCGTCATGGTCATCCTTGGCAACAAAACCGCCACCACTTACCACGCAGAAGAGTGCCTGGTGAGTAGTGACTAGTGACCTAGATGAGATAGTGCAAGCTGCAAGTCTGCAAGCTTCCACCACCTGGACCTTAGACGATGAGTTGCCATATCTAAGTGAAGCCCTCTAACAAGGACCATAGAAACGGTCTTTTGTCACACAAAATCACCATATACTTGTACTACATCACTACAATTCTTCTAGACCACAGTTTGGATTGAACTCCTTATGGCAGCCGCTGGGTCGTTCGCTGTATCAGGCACGGCCGCTCCGCTCTGAGGAGTTGATGTCCTTCATCCTGAAGCGTCGCTGTTTGACCCAGACCTGCCTCCATGGCAGCCGCAGTCATCCCATCTACCTGCTTCGCACGGAGATCCGGTCCGAACTCTCGGTGCACCTGGCCCTTTTCGACCTGCGAGGGCCGGTTCAGGCGCGGTCCCAGGTGCAGAGAGTCATGTGTTCGGTCGATGGTCTGCCAGACTGACAGATGAAGATGATCGCCTCAAAATGCCAAAAATAACACGATCGTGTAGGCCAGAGAGATCCACTCACAATGCCAGAGAAAGCGTAGAAAGCATCAGAAAGCCAAGCCACTTTTTTCTCCCCGGTCTCGGTGTCATCACTGTCCACATCGTCCACTTCGCAGGGCCCCTCGGACTTCACGGCACTGGAACACCTCATCGATCTGGGTGCTCCAGACTCCCGGGCGCAGGGTGTGTGACACCTCCGCTGTGTTGCTGGCGTGGTTTCGGTCGGCCCAGTGCTGCTGAGTTTTGAGATGTTTTCATGGGGACTTTGGGAAACGTTCATGTTTGATCTGTTCGGCGGTACCACTTAATCATGACATATTATGACCGTTCATGGATGATGTGCTATCAGATCGGTAGCGAGATGCGGAGAGTTTATGGGGTTGGTTGTGTTTGTATAATTTATGGTTGGTTGAATAGAAGATGTTAGAAGCACCTAGATTAGCCTAAGGGACATAGGTGCCTATGCTTCATGGAGCTGTTGAACATGTTGAGAGAAACGATGAGAAACGTGTCAAGGCGGTTCAAAGTCGGAGGCGAATGGAAGGGTAGTGCACAGAACGCTTAGCTGGATGCCTCGGACACGCTTTCGGTTTTGCGTGCCTCTTTTGGTTGGACCTCCCCCGAAGCCGGAATTGCTGTGCGGCACGCCGCCCACGTGCTGAAAACAAAGGGGGGCCTTGCTGAAAAACAGCGGAGGGGAGCAGGGCAGCCAGAGGCTCGTCCAAAGGCTCGGTCCGTCTTTAGGCACTGGCTTTGATGAATGAATAGCTCCTGCACAACACAGCTCTATTGGAGAAACATCGATGTCCAACCTCCTACAGTAGGAGACATCCTTAATGCGCCACCCTTTGTGAAGGCCAAATGGAAGGTGTGGTGAGAAAGGGGATAATTATGGACAATTCTTTACAAAAGCCCATCAAAACCGCAGGGCCAGGGCCAGGTTCCCAGCTCCGGGTCCAAGATGAGTCGATGGGGGTCCTCAGGAGTCGATGTTTCGCGCTTCCTTGTTGACCACCGCCTTGAAGGCGCGGCGGCCAGGGTCCGAGAGCACTGCATCCCCCGTGTTTTTGGAGGGAAGGGTCAAGAGGTAAAGAATCAAGAGATGTAAAGAGTCAAACAGGGTTTCCTATAGAGGTCACACACAAGTGAATGGCACTCCTTTGATACACTTGATATTCGCGGGGTGCGAAGGTTCAACCTGAAGAGGTGCTTCGTCATGAGCTGGCGCTTTTCCCGGCGATTTGCTCTAAGTGTTGGATTGAGGGGAGAGGGATATTGCCAAACACGGACCACAACATCAGCATGTAGATGGGCAAATCATATAAACCGTCAAATGTGAAGAGCGATAAGCCCCGTCACCCCCAATGACTTTTCGTGTTTGCTATATAATTACTGCATGATACTGCATGACACTGTATCATGACTGGGCTTTGCATTGCCCAAGCCAATATGACGATTTCATTGGTTTTGTCAATGCATGGTACTTTCCGTTGCTGTCGCGTCAAGCACTCTATGGATCCCTGCAGGACTCCATCGTGGGCTCGTGGCATTCAACCATACTTGCAACCTTGGAGCCCGAGGTGGCTGACTGCACCAAACAACTGCGCTTGCTGTCGAAATGGGCTAGGCGAGAGGGCTTCACGATTCGACTCCAAAGACGTACACCTCTGAAACAAGCATCTGCAGATCACTGCCCGACCAAACACACGTTTCCGCAAGACCTAACGGGCGCCTTCGCCCGTCGCGCTCTCCCCAGGCTGCCGTTTGCGTCTCCTCGCCGGGCGAGCGCGCGAGTGGCCCAACTGGCCGAACTTCGGGAGGAGGTGCGAGAACTCCAAGCTCAACACGCGATGGACGATGCGAGGCGCACGGCACGTGGGCCACTCGCCTCTTTCCTGGCGGTGCATGGTCGGTCGCACGGGGCACGGGTGGTGGGGTGAGTGGAAGGTGGATTGGTTACTTGGCTGCGTCCTTCGGGATAGCTCGACCAGTGACGGGCATGCATTTTGCTAATTATTTATATTGTATTGTTTGGAGCCCTTTCTCATGCCATAGGGGTGCTATGTGTGGAGCCCTTCTGAGCGAGTCATGTTTAGAGACCCCCAGAGCCGTTGCAGAGGGTTTGCTGCTAGTCATGAGCCCAGGAGCCCCTAGTAGCGTCCTGCTCCTAGTAGCGATGCCAGGAGCCCCTAGTAGCGTATGTTGTTGTTTAAACTGTAAACTATTAAACTTGTTGTTGAGTTTGATGGGTCTGTGCCGTTCATGGAAGCATTGGAGACTTGTGCAGGGCCACCATTCTGGCGGATCGTAGCGCAATGATCTTGGAGTTCTCCAAGGCACACGATCCGCCAAAGGAGTGGAAGAAGCTGAGAAGAGAAAGGGTGCCCTTGAAGAGTTTGAATCAATTTTGCTGCTTTTTGTGTGTCGCTTGTTTCGTGTGGTGCGCTTCTCTCTCGAAGCTGGCGGCTTCGTTGGATGAATGCGTTTTCGCTCGCGCGAGCGGACCCGACTCGAGGGGCCCACGGCCCAAGGACAAGACTTTGGATTGGTGTGGTTTGCCGACCTCCGACGCAGAAGAGGCCTTGGAAGCTCGGCTGCCTAGCTGGCTAGCTTGCTCAGGGCGAAGGAGCCCAAAAAGCTCTCAAGCTGGGACGGCGCGTTTTGTTGATGCACCGAACACATGGATCAGGCTTGCATAGGCTTTTTAAACTAACTTATACATTACCATATATTGTCATTAGTATTGTCATTTATTGTCCTATGGTGTTAAGCTATCTAAGGACCTGATGACGCCTTATTTGCTCAACATGTCCGACGATCCCGCCCTGTGTGGCCGCTTGATGTATCTCTTGCCAAAGGGTGAGCGAACCTGCATTGGGAGCGATCCAGACAACTCCGTCGTTGTGGATGGTCTTGGCATTCTGCCGAAGCTTGGGTTGCGCTTATGGCAGGCCAGGGCCCATTTTCGATTCCGCCGCAGGGCCCCAGCAGGACAGTTTCATTCTCAATGCCACAGGAAAGCCTTTGGGAGCACAATGGTCGGAACGTGTTTCATCAGGTTTCACCCTTGGAAATGGAAGGCAGTCCCAAGATATAAGTCAGCGTTTAGTTTCTTTTGCCAGAGCCACATTAGGAATCTTTGCAGCATTGTCAACGTGGATGACTTCAAGCTCACCCTTTCTCGGCCAGATTTCGCTCGACGCCACGTCCTCATCAACGGCAAGACGATGGCCAAAGAGAGCATGGTCTTGTCACACCATGACCGGATTTGCTCCACGCCATGCAGCCTTCAGCACGATTTTGAGATCCAAAAGTGACATAGGAGATCCATGGAGATCCTCTCCCTGAAACCTGGAAGGGCTGAAGATCAAGGATCCGACCTCAGACGGTCTCCATATACAGGTCTCCCACATCATGGGCCCACACGAGGTGTTTCGACCTGGTTTTTAGGTGACGAGTGTGCTGACCGTGAAAACCGGAGGTGCTCCAGGTCGAAAATGACTTCTTTTTGGAGCATGTAGAAAGAACAGTTTTCAAGAACATCCCCGGGTGATTGAACACTCATACTCTCACTATGATCTAACAGTGAGAGTTACGACTTTCGTTTCGAGTTTTGCCTGGTAGCAACACTGATGTGATGGCAACACAGCACCGGCCACAATCTACAGCTGCAAGTTTGCTATCAAAAAAGGGGTTTTCTCATGATCGAAGCCCAGAGGTCGCGCTTGCGCTTCATGAATATATATATATATATAGATGCCCTGAATGTTGATTTTTCAAGTGACTTATAAAATAGCTCGAATGTAGGATGCTCTAGACTCTAAACTAACTTCAGGTGTTTATAATTTGGAAGGACAGGCATGCTTATTGCCAATATTACTGGTTCATCGTCCTGTTCCCTCGCAACCCTAAACACATTCACGCCAGAACGTGTGGCAGTTCTGGTAGCCGGAAAAATCGGAGTCTTGATACCTCTCTCGGCTCCAAAATATTCAGAGTCAGACATGGTCAGAACTTTTGCTGAAGACTCAACCACAACAGAAAGCCTTTCGGTATCATGCCTTTCTTTTGACCAAACCCCAACCAGGGGATTTTCATATAGATATTAATTGGTCTTTATAGTTTAATCGATGTTTTTTCCCTACTGTTGCAGAGGAGCGTGTGCGGTCATCCTGGTGCCTGTTTGAGGCTTGGGTCGTGCCCAGATCTTTCGACTGCAGATTCCCCACATGGGCGTGGAGCTTCGGCTGAAATGAATGCGAGTGGGCCTGGGTGAAACATGTGGAAGTTGAGCAATTTCTTACTGATGGAAGACATTGCACCACCAACCAGGGGCGGTTCCAAGATATTCGGGCTCGTAGTGGTTGCCTTAGCTCAGCCTGGCAGTGTCCAAAGCCAAAACATCCTTGGCGCTCATGAGCTATAGAGGGTTATTTTGCAGTGACGACGACCACCAGTGATTTGTATCCCACAGAACTGGGGTTGATAGATTGTTTGTGTGTTTGCACTAGGCTTGGGCACCCCCGGATGATGACCAGCATGGAGCAACGGTTGTGACGCATGATCCTGTGAGCTTTCTGGGCTTTGGGGACTTGGGTGCATATAAGGCAACATGAGGCAACAATATGCAGCACTGCTTTTTTGGGGTAGGTAACAGGAGCTTTTCCTCTAATTGTATCTAAACTTGTACAAACTACTGTATGTGGTGACTACAGTTTGTTCACATCTTTTGGGGGTTACTGTTTTCATTCAACCGAACAAGCAAAACTTGTTGTCCAACCACGAAAGCAAGTAAGGAAACCATTCAGGAGGAGGAGGAGACTTTGGCGCGTGACTTGGCAAGTTTGAGACGCACGAGCCTGGGAAGGTCGTGCCAGAAAGATGTGGGGCTGAAGAAGAAGGAATGTGGGCCGCATGAGCACGAGTCAAGCACCACGGTTAGGATTTCATAGGTGTTTGATGGTTTTTGGAGAGAGGAGCCGTAATATCTTTGCCCTTGTGTTCAGATTGTGCCTGAAATATGCTAGACTCAGTGCTAGACTCTTGGGCGCTAAAGAGTGCTTGCAATCGGATGGCAAATTCGCAGATCGGCACTGCACCAAGGCATGCAGAGATTGGAATGCCTCCTACCGGAGGAGTTGACTGGCTTTTTGCCGTCTCTTCCACGGCAAAGCTTTGACACCACCTTTGAGAATCTCCAACACCTCTTGGACCACTCAGATGCATTGAGCGGCTCGGCGGCTGGGTTCAGGTTCGGAAGTCTAGCGGTACGACGTCCCCTTTCGTTTTGGGGACGGTCGGCTTGGGGGGCGACTCACCCGGTGGGGCGTAAGCCCTTAAATACTAAGACTGTCTTACATCGAATACATATTGCAAACATTTGCAAACATATTATGGCTGCGGGTCCAAACCATGATAAGGCACTTAGCTACTTGTTCCTAGCCAATCTTGGCTTCCAGGAAACTTGCAGTACTACATCAAAGATCTTCTCCCACGACTACCGGCTGCAAGTGCATTGGCTTATTTTGAAGCATTGAGGAAGGCAGGCCGCCTGCGTTTGCGTCGGCAATTGGGCTTTATTTGGCGCACTTGATTCGGAGGACACAAGGAATAGAACATCCGTGCCAGAACACGAGCCGAAGATGCAAGCCAAGAATTCTATGCGCCAGACCTAGCCAAGTTGTTCAAAGACGCTGTCCATCCATAGAATGCGAGGTCATTTCAAGCCAACCACTGCTAGAATTAGAATTGCACTTTCATGTGCTTCCAGCAAATTCCGCATCAACCCCGTTCTCTGTTGTTTATGTTTGCAGGTGTGCTACTGCGTGGACGAAGCCAACATGATCACCCGCGAGGTCCGCCCAGATGACCATTTGCACCTGGAAGTGGAGCTCGTTTGGGACATTTTCCGCCCACCTGAGGAGGCCATTTTGTGCCTTGACGGAGTGAAGCGTGACCAGAGTGACGTTTTTTTGGCAACTGTTGTTGCTGCTGCTTTGGGTTTTGTATGTATTAGCCATTCGGGGTTGTACAGAACCGGCAGCTCTTCTAGATGGATCAGAGTTATGTGGAGAGGCATGTGAATTAGGCATGTGTGGTTGAGTCTAGTGACTAGCGGCCTGACAGGGATAGACAATGGCCAGACCGGCCGCCGGTTGAGACAGTAGTTCCGAGACAGGTTGGTTGTGGGTGAGCAAATTGGTGGGGCAAAGCCGAGGAAGTTGGATCACCTGGGGTGTTGTTGTTTGCGTTTGCTTCATGGCATTTATGCACTCACCGGAATGTGAGATGGTGTGCGGTTAGTTGTGACTGTTTCGCACAAGCTGTTTCTCTTGTTCAGCTGGAGTGGCCATCTCCTAGAATCTCCCAGACAGCCAAGCGACATTCCCAGGATACGCTTGATGAGATACTGTAAAAGTGATGATGGGCCAGCGACTGGACAGGCGCTGCTTCGTGATGCGCGAGCCTGGGTGCCGGCTGTTTGACACTGGCATTTGGCATGAAGTTGCTAGATCTACTCAGTAGGTGTTGGACCACGAGTGGTTTTTGCATTCACATGTCCACCTCTTTGTTCGCTTCTTAAGGGTTTTCAGGCCCCCCCAAGGCAGCCTGTGACTCGCTCCAAGCTGACCCTGAGCAATGTAGGCGAACAAAGGCGGTGCACCCCTCATGACTCTACACCTTTGGAGTATGCAGGGGATGCCGTATCTCTGTGAGTTTCCTCAATCTCCATGTGGGTGGCGCCGATTGCCACCAACCAGGTGGTTCACTATTGGTCCTACGCGTGTTTTCTGGAGCGACTGGAGCTCATGCGGGATGTCCACAGGGTGCACTGCCACGCGCGCAATGGCTGGGCAGGCGCTCCTTGCAATGGCTAGATAGATTGACTGTGTCTCATGTATGGGCCACAAATTGTGTTCGGACTGTTTTGAGCATCTCAGAACCTAGCGATCCACTGTGGTTTCAGCAAGGCGGGACTTTTGGACAGTCAATCAGTCAGTCGTTTCATGCTACGTTTTTGTGGTTTAGTTCAGATGCATGTGATGCTCTCCTGTCGAGGTGCCAACGAGATGCTTCAAGACCCTTGGATGGAGCAGCCTGGCGCCAGATCACCATATCACGGGTCGATGAGTCGAGTCACGGGCATCGTTTGGGCATCCCAGGCCCAATCTCTTCCCGCTCCGCGATGTGTTGAGCCATGCTTTGGCACAACGATCTCTTGCTGCGCCCGGGCAGCAGCTGAACAGCTTGATCTGCGGGTTGAAAGCGTGGTTTGGGGTGAACGTTTCCGTTTGGGACATCCTCGCCTGCAGATGATGGGGCGTCACTTGCGACCGTGGGTGAGTCATCAATGATTGCAACGCAAAGGTTTGGCTGCATTTGGATCAACCTGGCTCAACTGTTTTGTTAAATGATGTTACATGCAGCAAGCATGACATGTGATTAGCAGTTGGGTGAATCCAACACCTACAGACTGTAGGAGAGATTGGGAGAGTCTCCGAAAAGATAGTTATACATAAATATATATATATATAGTTTGGCAGAGTCGGAAATTAACATCTTCTTATTTTCTGACAATAAATCTAGATTAGCAGAAAGTCGGGAATTAACAAGCAAGTCCAAAGTACGGGCTAAACCAGTACATTTGAAGGATTAAGTTTTACTTAGCAGTGCACATCACGTTCATCGGAAGTCATGCCGTTTGACCCCTTGACACTCGATCAGCACCATGTAGAGCCTACTGGTTGGTCCTGCCAGGGGTCAAGTATTCTAACATGCACAAGTTCCAAGGACCCCGTAAACCTGGCACTAAAAACCTCCTTGAATGGTGTTTCAGGAGACCCTTGACCTGTTTTGCTTTGCGAGAAAGCCAAATCAAGGCCAAAGTTTAGGGAGTTGCTCTCAACTTGCCCTGTCGTTGCATCTTTTCTGTTGTGGGTCCTAATTTGAATTTAGGTGGCTGAAGAAATGAGCAAGGTTGCATGGTAAAGGTTCCTGGAACCCTGGCAAGTGGAAAGCGGGTTTGTCCTTCTCCACTTAAGCCACTTGGACCAACTGCTGGGAGCTACCTGCAAAGTGTGTCACTGTTGTGTGGGCTGGGCTGGCCAAGCGGCACAGGGCGCTTGACTCCTGACCGGACCAGACCCTAACTTGCACATCATTTGTCCCAGAATGGTCCAGAACCCATGAGCTGGCCTCAATTGCAACTGTTCGTTACTCCCAAACAGGAAAGTCGTTGCGAATTCATGATTTTGAGCCTGTACCATTGTGATTTGTTATTTTCAAAAGTCGTTGCGAACTCTGTGCTGCTTGTGTTTCGAGTTTAAAGGAAACCATAGCAATGATATTGAATTATATAATGACCTGATGCAGCACTTTGGTGTCTAATGTCTCTGTGCCTTTCGGAATTGAACACCGTGCTGTACATTGGGCTTACCCCCATCATGAGGCCTATCATGTGGAAGATCTGACCAAAAACCGGTGTGCCATTGGTGAAAGCTATGCATCAAGATGCTTCTATAGGCAACCCATGCTCTTCTGTTACATGGGGAAAGTCACTTGCGATTGTGGGTCCACTGTTTTCAAAAGGTGGTTGCTCCATTGGGGCTGGAACCATGGTTTTGTTTGGATTGACATATGCAGTGCTTGGCCTTTTCTTTGGCCCAAGATTTGTGGCCACAGCTCCGTTGATTGCTTCACAATGGAAACGCCGCAGAGGAAGAGAACACGGGAAGCATCACCAGAGTCAGTGGCCAAGGATTTGGCCTGAAGGTTTCCAGGGCTTTCTCGGCATCGCGTGTCAACTTGTCCCATCTAACCATTGTCAGAGGAAGCTCTGCCCTTTAATGGGGTTATTGCTTGGGTCTCTTCCATTACCAGAGGCAGCTGGTGAAAGATGATCTCTATGTGTTGCATGACCAGGCACTATAGTTCTAATATATATATATATTATATATATATATATATTTTTGTTGTATTTATTTATGTATCGTTCTTAGTGGTCATAAGAAGTTTTTTGTGGCAAGCCCTGATCACACCCACCATGGTATCGGGAGTCGAGACTCGACACTGTACTCGTAGTTCGTTTCTTCCTTGTGTCTTCTTTGTTTGCTTTTGTTGGTGTACCTGTCATGTTGTTGGTGCTGACGCTGCTTCTTTGCGAGTTCGCTTTCACTGGGTTCTGTTTTTGTTCGTGTTTTTCGCTTCACTTCTTCCCTCAAGCTACACGCCTCCAGGAGCTTCAAGCTGTACGACAACAGCCCGTAGAACCTCCAGATGCTTGGCCCGGTGTGCTGGTGTTGTGGCTGGTGCTGTTGTTGCTGTTGTTGTTCCTTTGCTTTCGCTCGCCGTTTTTAGGAGAGGGGGGCTAGTGACTAGTGTCATGAGACAAAGACACCCTGAGAACATCCATGGAAGGAGCCTAAGGTTTTTTCCAACACGCTGTCCAGAAATTAGGGGCACTGTTCAATAGAAACTTGATATGTACAGGAAGCAGTCAACTTTCCCCAATCTACGGCCAAAAGCCTTGATAGGCACAATCAATTTTTGTCACCAGCAGTGAGCGATTCCCCCCAGGAAATTTCATTGGCCAAGCTGGCGAAGCGTTTGCGGGAGCAGCATGCTCAAGCCTTCTCGCAACTTTCGCGCTTGCAGTTGAAGGAGCAGGCGATTGACCCAGCGACACGATCCTATGATCCAGGAGTTCCTGACGCCATTGGTTCCTGCTTGATTTGTGGCGCAAAGCGCCATGAGGTGAGATGGGAATACTTTCGCACCCCTGGCGCGGACAAGCGCTTGACTAGGGGTGGAACATGTTTTTGCTGTGTGCAGTCGTGCCGGCTTCTGCAATGCAGCCGGTCTCCTTGCTTGGTTCGTGAGTCTGGAGCGCTTGAAGCTGTGCTGTCTCTGTCTGCGCTGAAGCGTCAGAGGCTTGCAGCAGAGGATGTTTGTGAGTGTGACCTTTGTTTGAGTCAGGCTCAGTAGGGTTTAGCTTGGGATAGCCTGGGCTATATATTTGTAGATTCTGTGCAGAATCTAGGGGAACCAGAAAAACCTGAAGGCTTTACCTTTAGACGCTTGATGCGCTTGGAAAATTGTTTTTTCTCAGCAATCCAAGCAGCAAGCGTATGGGTTTCACTTGTTGTAGCCTGGCAGGCATGAGCTGGCTGTTCCTTGTTGAGTACACATGCGCGACATGTTTGTCTAGGAAGTCGGAACTTTGCGAGCAAGTTTCGTGAATTGTTCCAAAGAAGACTTGAGGGATTGCAGTTGCTTCTCGTTCCGACTGCAGCCTGATGGCTCCCCAAAAGTACAGTGAAGCTGTAATCGCCCGTTTTTCTCACTCCCGGTTGCTTGAGGCGTGCGAGGAATGGGGTCTTTCCTATGATACCAGCCTGCTGGTTTCAGAGAACCGCGCTCGCCTGGCACGTCGAATTGTAGACGGTGACGTCGTTTGTAAGAAGCAGGATCTCTCGGAAGTTTCAGGACGTTCAGGGTTGACCGAGGCTTTTGGTTAGCACATGTGGGGAGATGTCTGCATGGCATGTTTAGGTGTAGGGTTCCTACCTCGTCCGCTACCTCGTCCGCTACATCGTCCGAAAACCCAGTGACTTCTCTCAAAGTTTACTGTTTTGTGGGTTGCTTGAGGAGCATGCGCATCCAGCGAGGCTGATGCTTCTGCACCTTTGCCACCGCCTTCCACTCCTCCACCAGACTCGTTTCTCTGTAGCGGGTGCAACTTGGATATCCCCAACAGTGACCGCAGTTGCTTACCTAAATACTGCAAGCAATGCTTTGAACACGAGCTTGCTGAGCTGTTGAAGCCCCAGTCGAGCTCCAATGCAGAGGGTGTAGCAGATGGGAACGCAAACTCTGGGTCTGGAAGTGGGGCAATTTTACAATCTCTGGCCGCTGTGGCCGAGGACTTTTCTGTAGATGCACGGAATGTTGTGTGTGTGCAGTGCTCGCGCCCAGTGACGTCAGAGAACAAATCTCCAGTTCCTGAATGCTGCTTTGAATGTTGGCAAAAGCAAGAGAAATTGGAGGAGGAGATTCTTGACGCCAAGCCTGGCGTCGATGAGAAAAGTGAGAGGACAGAGCTTCAGACCCCCCCCAAAAAAAACAAAGCTTGAGGAAGCAGCCGCCAAGTTATTCCCACAATGGCAACCGAGAGCAGCAGTTCCGCATGCAGATTTTTTGGAAGCCTTGACTGAGAAGTCAAAAGCAGTGAGCTGGTGCACTGTTTTTCAGAAAGCTGCAAGAATCTTGTGTGGGGCGCCAAAAGCAGATGCTCTATCTCATTGGCTGGAGCAGTCGGACTTGGAGAAGAAAAGGTGGGGAGAATCCTTTTCAGCTGTGAGATATGCCTTGCTTGATGTCTCAACACCGGCTGCGGACAGCAAGGCAGGGATTGCAGAGGAAGGCAAGAATGATGATATTTTGCATGTTCCTACCTCGTATGACCTCAAGCTGCTATTGAAAGATCACGGCAAGCAAAAGACACACGCAAGCATTGCCACTTCTTTGTGTTGTTTGGTCCGTTTTTGCTTTTTCAAAACCACAAACCCACAAGGCCCAAAGAGAGTTCAAGAAACGGATTTCCTATCCATTTCCATGCGTCCTAGGTTGCCAACGACCAGAGAAGGTGGGAGATGTACGGCGCACTGGCTACCATGATACACCGCGGGGACGATGGCTGTGGAAGTGCGTATGCAGTTTCCATCCGTGCAGATCTCCAACCTCTCAAGATCAACAGGAACAAGTTGGGATCGATACTCAAATTGCTGCAGACCGAAGGCACTTTGCCCAGACAAGTCCCCTTGAATTTTCGTACAGGAAGAAGCCAGGGGCACAGCTTGTCGGATGCGGAGAAGCGTGTCTTCCTGCAGTTCATCCAGTGGCATGCAACTCATGGCAACGCCTTGTCTGTTGAAACTTGCAGACGGGCGCTGTGCTTCATGGCAATGGAAAAGAGTGGTGTTCTGGATGATGCGCTAGGTGATCCTGCTTCCTTAGAGGCCCGATTGGATGCATCGATACTAGGACTTGTTTAGCGCGCGGTTCACTTCATTTGTTCATTTTAAGTTTATTTTGTCCCCAGCTTTAGAGTTGTAGAGCCACTGCTTCAGCGACCTCCGACTAGGATGGACGACTTTGATGTTCCAAGCCGTTGGGAGACCTTTCGACAGTGGGTCAAGGCGACGCAGCCGAAAAGTGAGTGGCTGACAGTTGCGAAACTCAAAGCCCGCTCACCGGTAGAAGCAACAGCTTGCAATGCAGAGACGATCACGAAGACTTACAACGAGTGGGAAGCACTCCTGAGAGAGTTGGGAATTTCCGATTCGGACGGTAGAATCAAAGCTGACCAAGCCCATAGAGTGATTGTGGTGGACGAGAAAGGCTTTTCGCAGAGGGCTGACAATCTCTCGAAAGGAGTCATTAGCAACAGCTTGAAGAACAAAGCCTCCACAATGACTTCGACAGCCACTTGGGAACACATTACTTGCACTTCCTGGCTTCCCTTGGCCCCGCTTCCTTCAAAGGTGGTCCTACCGTGTGGAATTGTGGTGCCAACAAAAGGCACAAACGATACCATGAAACAAATTTGGCCAGAAGCTTGCATTGAGGGCAACAGTGGAGGATCCAGCACTAGCTCTATTTTTTGTCTTTTCCTTCTCAAGTGCCTCATTGAGCCCATGAGAAAAGTTGAAGAGAAAGAAATCCTGCTCATCATGGACTCAGGCGGGGGTGCATATATGCACCTCTCGTGGCAATTCCTGTCCCTGTGCGAGACGCATCGCATACGGCCGTACATGCTGAGAGGTTATTTGACCCGGGCTTTGTGCGCTCTTGACCAAGAGCCACATGCTTGCATGGCTCGGCTTTGGTCCGCCTTCAAAGGCAAGTGGAAGAACAACTTGAATATGTACCAGGCCCTTCAAGCAATCAGAGAGATCACCCAAGAGTCTCTGACAGAGCAAAGGGCTGCTGCTGGGTGGGCAAGGGTGGGTCTGAAAGCTGGAAGGTCTATAGACAGAGATGTCGTTTTGGTTGAACGATACAGCGAGGTGATCCAAAGCTACAAATACGCCGAGAAGCCGCAGACGCCCCTGATGCAAGTCATTGAGAAGTGCTCACCTAGCAAGTCCCGCTGTAAGGCGTGCCAGGTCTGGGTCTTGGCAACAAGCAAGTATTGTCAAAACTGTTCCATTCCCAATGAAAATTTCGAGAAGGGTACCTATGAGGTGCACCGTGATGGCAAAAGGTCAGGGTGGAAGAGTGCTTCAGAGGTGGAGGTACCCGAGGGCGATACAAGTTTCAGCCGTGAAGCAGTGACAGATTTGTTGGCAGAACTGCGCTCTAGGACCAAAAAACAAAAGACCTCTGATTCAGCAGCGCTTCCGCCTTCCAAAGAACCTGAAAGCGGCGCAGCTGCTGCCAGTGGGAAGGAACCGTCGGCTGAGGTCAATGAAAGTGACCAGGAATGGGATTTGAACACATGCGATGGCTGTGTGCACTATTTGGCTTCTCTTTTTTCCAAGGAGAGGCGAGAGCGTGTGCGGCCAGTGGCAGATTTCTTTGTGCGAGAGCATTTACAGCCCCAAGTCAGGAAGTCAATGCCGCTCTACAAGATAATGTCTGCAGAGCTCAAGAAAGTTGGTGGCCTCAAGAATACCCAAGCTCGCACGAAGTGGTTGGAAGCTTGGGAAGAGAACCGGAAGTGCAGGTTCGTGAGACCCAGCAAGGTGCGAAGAGCAAAGTGAGAAAACAATCTTTGCTCGCTGTCGCTGAATGGTTTGGTGGGCCATGTCCTGAACTCACCACATCTGTGCCAAGCAGTTCGACCCAAAGATCAATTTAGGATCAGAAAGGTTAGTTGCTTTCCCATCGGTGGGTACCATGTCCAGGTTACCATGAAACCTTTGTGCCATGCTGGTTCTTAGGATGAAAGACATTGACAGGTAGTAGGCCCTGCCATGCAAACCACAGTGTTTCCATCCAAAACAGGTTCGTGACAAAGCATGACAAAGCCATGTTCCTTGGCGCTGTGCCATGCGAAGTCCCACCAAAACCACATACAAAATACGTGATTTCTATGGGCATCAAGCACGCTGTGCCATTGGGAAATCTTGATTGCAAGGACTTTGCCGGGCTACCGGTCGTGGCGGTCTGTGCCATGGGGGTTTGCTGGTCCCCGGATGTGTTGCTAGGACTTTCCTGGTTTAGAGTACCCTTACTCCATCCACCTTTGGAGAGATCATGAACACTATTTTGGTTCTAACGGGGCCAAGTAGAACAATGTGCTCATTCTCGTAAGTTCTAAATGAAAAAGTTTAACGTGGTCATTGGCTTGGAGGGTGCAGTTGTCTTTACAATTCTTTACATAGATTTGGCGGAAAGTCGAAATTTTACAGGTTTTTTCTCAGAAAGTCTGTGGTTTTTGACAGTTTGGCGGAAAGTCGGAAATTTATCAACTTGGTTCTTCTTAAGTTTCTGACTTTCTGACGTGTGATCGTTGGCTCTAGAAAGGGTCTTGGATTCGCCTAATAGGATGTGTATATATATATACATACGTACGTACATACTATACACATGCACGCATACATATGGTATTTCGTTTTCGTTTCCATTGTTCCGGCTTTCGCAACACATGTTCAAGCTTGATGCTGGATGCATGTCCTCAAATGTGTATATTACAGGCGACAATTTGTGCACAACATTTGTGCACAAAAGAACCCAGAGAACCTTGCATTTTGGTGCACCATTGCTACCGAAGCACGCCTCCAAGTCCGGTGGCTTTACTTCAATGCATTTCTCCAGTGAACTTACGGTCGACCAAGCATTTCTGCCAGCTCGGGATCCAGAACACGTCTATATATATATATATGATGTGTGTTTTTCAGATATGACTAAGGGTGCGGTTTACGGTAAAAAGGGCGATCAACGGTTCGAACTTGAACCTGAACCGTGCTATCTGGCCGTGTCGTACTACCTCGGCCCAGTGTGGCCGCTCGTCTGAGGACTCTGAGCGGAGAGCGGCCGAAGCTGCCCTGCAGGCAGCTTCGTGTGTTCACAACGCTGCAGTTCACAACGCTGCAATTTGGACATGCAGAAACAAGAAGATTGAACCATGCGTACATGTTGTGCCCCCCATAGTTTCAGATTTAAACAGCATGAGTGAGACATGCGGTCAGATAATTAGCTGGATATATCTGGATATGTGATATGATATGTGTCCCAGTGTGGGTGCGATTGGAGATTTCCTTGAGATTGAGCGTGGCTTTCCCCATGCGTGAATGATCCAGAATTATATAAGAGTTATGTGCTTTGGGCGTAAATTGCCGAACGAACCGGATGAATCCAGATTGCCCAATCGACCATTCGTGGCTAATTTGAGTCTTTACTCTTACTGATTCGCTCCAGCAAGAGACAATGAAACGGCCGCTGGGCCTGTGATCAAAAGGAAAAACTGCTTGTTCAAACAGCTGAAATGTGAGGAGCTTCAGGAGAAGACGGAGCAGCTCGAACGCCAGGCCGAGATCATTAGCCAGCTCAAAGAACAGCCCCCTGGCTGAGCTTTGTGCATCCCCCTTTTTTTATTGCTCTTTACTACTGCTAGGACCTTCCAAGGAGTGCCCAATGGAAGTGCGCACGGTAGTCTTTCGGACACCCATTCGAAGGTCCTAGTTGATCCCACTTGTACCCCCATATGTCAGGTCATTGGGTAGGCCAGGTAGACTGCCGGCTAATTTCTTGCTTACTTTTTCTACATACGTGTGCTCTCTATAGTGTAATGCGTTAAAACAACGCATGTGTGTACCTGCTCTGTCCCCGGCACAACCCGCTCTGGAGGATCATGGGCGTGGTCTCACTGACGCGGGAGCTCCAAGAGGAGCCCGGAGACACAGTCGACCCGCCGGAGCCTGCAGAGCCCGCGCGGGTTGGCGAGGAGAACTTCACGATGAGTGTCTCCAGCTCCACCTTCTCTGTTGCTTGGACTGGATGAGCTATGAGTTTGGACTGGACTGCTTGGAGGTAGGGGTTTTACAATCCAACTGGGGGTTTAATAACACTATGACATTAGAGGTGGACCAGCGAGCTGGGGCATGTTGGTGTAGGAATTAAAATGGGGGGCCACTGGTAGAAGAGCGACAATGACGTGCAGTGGTCGAAGACCAATTGTATAATGTTCCTAAGACGGAACCTAGACATTGGAGCAAGGACGCTACGAACGGGGCTCCTGGCCTTACTACTAGGAACAAGGACGCGACTCGAACGGAGCGATCGGATGCTACTAGGAGAACTTGAATGCTACTGTACTAAGAGACCTTCCAGACATCGCAGAACTTCGCCTGAGGATGGGGTCCCGACAGGTGGGCAAGTCGATGAAGACGTGCGCTCGAGAGGCTTCAGAGTGGATGCTGGGCGGGGAAAACGCGCGACGGGACGTCATGGCTGACCTGACCCCTTTGGATGTGAGGATTGTTTGAAAAACGTCAGCCGGCAGCTTGTTGTTTTAAATTCACCGTCACATGAGTGTATTTTTGTACTACAAGTGCAACTTAGGAAAGTTGTTTGAAAACAACTGATTTTCATACTCTTCAGAAGAAACACCAAATATAGCAGTCACATTAAGTCGTTGGAATCATACATGCTTTGGGACCGCATCCCAATGGAAATCAAACGACAACGCTGCAACTGTTCAGAACAAATCCTTGCATGATCTTGCATTTGCTTTTGTTTGACGAAATAAGTTTTCAGCTTGTTTTGGAATAAATCCATCCATCGCAGTTCTGATTTGGCTTTGGCCGGACTGGATTGCCGCTGTACTTGTTCGTGCATGTAGTAGCTGACAAACATCGTGCACCATAGTGCCCCCTTTGACACCTGGACAGCCACAGTAATCCGGTCCACCTATTAAAAAACACGGGGCCCCCCCTAATAAGGAAACCTCGGTCGCATTTTTTCTATTAGGGGGTCCCTGAAATCGGGGGGTCCAAAATAGGGTCACCTGGAAAGAGTTTCAAAACACCAAAAAGTAATCCATGAATCCTGTATTAAACTCGTATCAAAAATACAAAAAACCTCCAGATCGAAGGGTCTTCCTTTTCCCCTACAAAAACCTTCATTAGAATAGTGATTCTTCAGTAGACTAACAGCTAAAGCTTTCGAAAGGTGATGTCGCTGTGACATGCGGTGTTGCATGACCTCGGTGGCAAGTGCGTTTGCGCGAGTCCGTGCCATTGGGGGAAGGAAAGCCTGCTGGTGTAAGCGCGGCGTGTCATAGTGGATAGACAGGGCGGACAGAGGTGGGCAGTTACGGTTGTTTTTGGAACCTAGTAAGAAAAACCTCTCCAAAATCGGCCATGTTGGTAGTTTAGTAGCGGCTTGAAAGGGCGGAATTTATAAACAAATATAAGCCGTATTTAGGGGGATCCGACATGACTTTTTTAAGTTGGGGCCCGTTTTTTAATAGGTACTCGGGATTAGTCGTCAGAAGTAGAGCAGGGAAAGATAAAAATATCAGTGCTTCTTTACAATAAATATTGCCCTTTAAAGGGGGCCAGGCTAAAAGAGACCCAAATACGATAAAATACGTGCGGCCCAAGCACTTCTTTCGTGTTCCTGCTCTCTACTAACAACACCTTTATTCACCTCTATATGAGGCGTTATGTAGTTCTAAGACCTGAGGGGCCCGGGCACTCTTTTCCAAACCGTTTCCAGGTGCTATTATACAGAGGGGTCCATGATGTCCCTCTAGACCTGTCGCTCCATTCCATGCGGTCAGGACAAGCTCAGCAATACGCTTTTGCAAAGCTTGGCTCCAGCATTGTTGAGCCAATCCAGCCTCACTCCACCTCATTGCTATCGGGATTTGAACCGATAGGGGCAACCAGTGGAGCAGGGATCTGCTTATGTTAGTAGAGGGCCAATTCTTCTCAATGTTCTTTGTGTGTGTGTTTGTGAATGCGCTTAACGATGCTGAACGGCTTGACGCCTGTGTTTGCATCACTGTGAAGCCTCAAAAGATTCATTGTTGTGAGAAGTTGGTGGCATCCCTGGATCTATTTGCATCAACATTTTTGGCACCTGCTTCTGTACTAGTGAAAACTGGTGGGTCCTGGAACATGGCTACAGAGAAGGAATTCTTTCATGTTATTGGCATTGCACAGAGAGAGAAAAACAAACTTTGTCCTTAGATGTCCAAGACGGTATGTTTCTTCACGGCCGTCTTGGGTGGAATCTTCAAGCTGTCATTCACCAGTTCCTCCACTTCAGGTTAGAAGTTCAGGGTGCAGAAAGCAGGTTGCACAGCCTTCCAGCAAAGTCTGGGCAGTTGCGCACACAGAGCTTGGCTGCGACTTGCAGAGGAGATGGGGATGACGATGCTCCCAAGGCGGTGCCAAATGTCCAATTGACTGCAACAAGTTGAGCTTAGCATGCGTTCCCAACTTCTCGGTTGATTCACAACCAAGCCATGATGAAAGATACAGTTCCACACCGTGGCTGTCGAATATCCGGCAGCCACTTCTGAGCCAGGTTGTTCCAATCGGAAACGCTGGCACGTTTGATCGCTGGAACCAAGGTTTCCGAAGTTTGCAACAGGGGCATGAGCATGAACGAAAGTCCATGCAGGTAAACCTTCAGGACCACAAACATCGAACGATTAAGAGAAGCATTGAAACATACACTCTGGTTCACTAACACGGAAGTTGGAAACCCCCATGTTTGTACTGAATGTAGTCGTCCAAGTGCCATTGTCCACATCCATGTGATGTGTTCGTCCGAGTGTATATGCTTTGGGCAGAATCAAGGAAAAGAGAAAGGAACTCGTGGAGTTGCAGACCTGACATGCGGTGACCATCAAATGCATCGATCCCTATGGCGACCATCAAGTTATTCATGTCGCTTGCTTTCGACAAAAAGGTCAAGGAAGAGAGAGACGTGGGAACATGTGGGAACAATTCTCCAGGATTCCAAAAGCAATTCCTGCACGAGGGAGAGGTCCTGAGGTTGATCTCCCATCCTTGAGTTCCGGTGGATCTTAGGCGATTTAGGCGAAAACGGATCTCCGCTTCCGCTCGGATTTCATCCGGATCTCCTATAGCGTTCACCGCGGAAGGCCGCGGCGAATCGGCAAGTGCGGGCGCGGTGGTGGAGAGGAGCCGAGCCCTACCCGAGGTCATAGAAAACCTCGGAGAGGGCTGGAGCTTGCGAAGGTCCAAACAGGTTTTTTGATGTTTTTTGAGCGATGTGGATGGCAGGGAGGTTCTTCATCTGGAACATAAAGACGTTTTTTTCCCCCACAGCAGCTGGCATGCTGGACCAGCTCTCCTGATAAAGCAGTTCTGAAACAAAAAGCCGTGTCGGTTTCAAGAATCCTCTTCCGTAGCCGGGCCCTTCCTTTTAGCCGGGACTGGCCTGAGGCAGGCGCAGCAGGCACAAGCCCAGCACGACTTTGTCAGAGGCATTAACGAACTCTTCGGTCGGGGTCCTCAGGAGATTTGGTATGATCTGATGCTGAAAGCCGTCGAAAGGATTTGAGGTGCCTACTTTAGTTGGAATTTTACAGCACTTGACCCCTGTTGATGATCTACAACGGACCAGGCTGAGCACAATTAGGTGACGGCAGTGAACAAGTGGAATCATTTACCATGAGGTGATGGCCTCCAATCTCTAATGGCGATGGCCTCCAACCTAAGAGCGATGGCCACCTAGGAGCGATGGCCTCCAACC